CGGATTATCTGATTATCAACATTTTTTTTAAAGCCCGGTCATTCCCCAGGGTCAGGTGACTCTGCTCCTGCAAGATAAACTCAGGTTATGACACTCCTAGCCACAGCTAGGCCTTTGGGTCTTGTAACCTGCTTCCACCCCTGAAATCATATGCATCTACTTTGCCTGTGAGATTTGTGTATCTGAATCTCTACCGCCTGGAATAAAGTACGTTGTCTCCATTCTGTCCGAGGTTGTGGAGCTGGGATTCCGTTGGCGGATTGGAATGTGAATTAGGCTCCTCGGCTTGGTTGGTAACCAGAGCCAGGAAGAGCGAGAGAGTAGTCTGGGTACAGCCTCTTGCCGCCCTCTGGTGGAAAGGGTGGGTATTGAAGAAGCCGTTACAGGATGCCCGCAGCAAATGCAGTTGAGGTGTCAGTGAAATGGTCCACGGGGAAAAATTACTCTTAGAGCTATTAAGTTACACTACAATGTGAATCTAAATGTTATGCTAGAAAAATATATTAAGCGAATAAAATCTGAACTGTTGCTGTATGAGAATCTGATTTCTAACGGGCAATTTTAATTCCACCTCCTTTTTGTTTGCTGGGAACTCTTTCTCCTTTTTCATTCGAAATTCTTCCTTTTCTTTAACCATAATTTTATGTATCTTTTATGAATCAGCATTTGACCCAGGAAAATTTTAATTCTTATATACTCCAGATGTTAAACTAGTATTTATACTACACATTCAGATCAAAATCCAACCTAAAATATGTGTTAGTTTGATGTCTTTTGAGAGTCCCTTAATGCAAGTGAGAGGCTGTCTCCTAAGACTTTTGCATGAAAATTACATTTTAGAAGAAAATATGCTTTAAAAAAATGCCAAAATTCTCAAGAACTATTGTCATGTAGAAGCACACATTTGTAATTAAAATCTATGACTGAATAATTTTTGGAATGAAGAAAAATTTGGGGATTTATTAACACACTATGCGTTGCAGAGTGACCAACCTTTCGGCTGTGTTCCAGTCACTCCCAGAGCTCTTACATCTTTTGAATTGAGAAATAAATTCTTAATACCAGGCTAGTACCTGGTTCTTAGTGTCAGGTTCTTATCTGACATTTTTATTCATGAGTTCATTCATTCATTACTCATTCAAGAAGTATTTACGGAGCCCCCATGTGCTCGCCGGAGGAAAGTTACACCTTCCCTGCGTGGAGGCCTTCGCAGAACTGAGCACAGGTGTTCCAAGGACAAGGCAGCGAGTGGTCAGCATCAGAGAAGAGGGGGGATTCAGGGCGACGGGGGGTGCGGAGGTGGGAGAGATTGGCGGGAGAGATTAGTGGCAGCTTTGGAGGCAGGTGAAAGGAGAGGCCCCTGAAATAAGAATTAAAGGGTGAATGTGGTATGAACATAAAATTATTGTATGTGGCGGAAATTTGGAAATTTCTTCTAAAGTAATAATTTTTCTTAGGGAAATAAGTTACAGACAGATAGTAACTGTCATAGAAATGACTTTCACCCATTCAGGTGACTTGTGAAATGTGAGAGTAACAGTGCAGATACTGTCAATTCTTGATTGACCTCTGACCTTTGCATAGGGAAGGATTTCTGCTCTTCTCGGGATACTCTTCTCTCTCCTGACCGATAGTGCTAAACAAGAGAGGAGGGGTAACCACTTCATTCCTTCTCCCTGCCCCTGTCTTTTCCTCAGTCCAGTGCTGCTCATGTGAAATGCATGTCTGTGTGCCAGATACTCTGCTAGATATGGAAAGGCAACAATTAACGAGCACACCTGATCCTTCTTCTGGAAAAGCTTTTACTGAATGGAGACAGCCAATTAAGCAACAAAATAACAATATTTAATGTGTAATAAGAAAAACAATACCCAGGGGTTATTGACTTCTGGTATGAGGTGGTCTGGATTCAAATTCGTTAAATACTGGCCATGTAACCTCTTGCACTTCAAGTTTCGACAGAACTATATTCCTGGGTCTCCTAAATGTCTGAGCAGGAGCTCCTGGTGGACAGTGGCTTTCCTCCAGGGGATGATTCCAACCTGTGGCCCCGGCGTCGCCTAGGGCTTCATCCTGACTGCCGAGGGGGAAGAGGGAGTGTGGAGGAGGCAACGCCACCCTTTGAAGCACTGGTCTGGGAAGGGCATCACTGGCTAGAAGCAGTCTTTTACATGGTCACCCTTAAGTGAAGGGATGCTCCCCTTTTTATTACTTTGAGGGCGAGGAGAATGTAGGTAGGGTAGACTTTAACCGGCTGGGGGAGGCAGAGGCCTGACTCCTCCTGGGCTCATTCTGAGCTTTAGGGTACCTTTTGGGAGGAGAGGAGTTGGGTACCAACCTCTTTGCAAGTCAGCTTACCTCTCAGGAGACTCGAAGTGGCCGTATGTACAGGCCTCTCCTTGCAGTGCTTTGCCTTGCACCCAGCGGTGTCTATCACAGCTACTTGGCTGTGAAGCATACCTTCGAGGGTTATGCTGCTCCCGCAGGGAGGGGAACCTGGCAGGAATCGTGGGCTAGCACCCCAGCGGCTGCACGGCTCAGAGTCCGCTCCATGTTTCAGCATTTCTAATTGTTGATAGTGCACCTGAATAGGCCTTCCTAGTACACTGTTAAGTTGGTCTTTGGCTAAGTTGGTTACACGTCTAAGAATCCAGGGGGCAAAAGAGAGGATGAGGGTGATAGAAACTAAAGGTCCTAAGAGGGGAAGGAGGTAGGGGGAGAATTCCGTTGAGTCCACCCCAAAGGGGGTGTTCGGAAAGTTCTTTCTTCTTTTTTTCTAAGTCTTCTTGTAACTGTTTTATCTTGTCTCGGACGATGCCTGGTTTGTTGGCATAGAAGCAGCAGTGTTCCTGTAAAGCCAAACAGATACCTCCCTGTTCTGCAGTAAGTAAATCTAGACCTCGTCTGTTTTGAAGGACAACTTCTGTTAGGGAGTCTACTTGGTCTTGGATGTCACTAATGGTACTTGACAGAGCCTGGACATCATCAATTAGTTGTTTAGAGAGCTTTGTGTATGAATGGACTGCGACTCCCAATCCTGCAGTCCCTGTGGCAACTGCTCCAGAGACGCCTAATCCAACTAATAAGGGTATGAATGTAAATGCTCTTTTTTGTCGCCCCGCAATATGGTCTAAGCTGGGAATGGGGACAGGCTCGTCTCCGGGGAGAACATCTATATCTGGTAGTAAGGTAGCCAAGACACATAGCCCGGTCCAGTTAGCGGGCAAGGCTGAAAAGGCCAGGTTGTTTGCACAAACGAATATTTGTCCATGACCTGGGCAAAGGGGGTTACTATAATTGGTTATGCTTCTACAACTAGTAAACTATAAAGCCAACGGGAATGTCGAAGCTATTATTTTGAGCTATGCCTTGTAAGCACTGGGAGGGTGGAAATATTGTAGGTTGGACTCTAAAAGGTAAACTAGGATTACATTGTAGCTGTTATTTATTAAGGGTGGATATATTGACAGGAATAGCTAAAGGCATGGGGGTGCCTAGGCTCATACATAACCAGCAATCCTCGGCTAGGTGAGGGTTAGATACGTTAAGAGCTTGATGTGTGGCTATTAAAATGTCAGCAGTCTGGGTATCTAGGTCTACTCCCCGCGGTTTGGGGAGAGCTAGTAATTCAGTGGGGGGTGGATATGGTTAAATCAGTGAATTCTTTAGCCACGGCCTTGATTTCTCAAATGAGAATTAAGGCTTCTTGAATGGAGGTTTTTTGGAGAAGGGGTTTTTGGTGGATTGTTGGTGGCTCGGGGTTGTTTAGAATGGGGGCTACAATACGGGTGGTTGCGGGCGGTAGGTTTGAGGGTGCATGGGGGGGCGGCCGAAAAGCTGGGAGATCTTTAAGTAAGGGGGCAGAAGAGAGAGGAGGCCAGTCAAGGTTATTGTAAGAAGCTGCCTCTTTTTCGAGTTCGGCCTCTTCTGCTGGGTTTAATTGGTCGACATGGTTATTTGAGGAATTACGGGAAGGGTTAGGGTTTTTTTTTAATCTCTTCCTCTATGTTAATAGAAATTGAGGGGCAAATTGAGGGGGCCCTCAAAGGGGGCCGAGATTGATTTTTTGAAATTTCTTGTCCCTCTTTACAGAGATTTTGGGCTGAAGGGGCCCTCGAGGGGGACCGGGATTGATTTTTTAGAACTTCTTGTCCCTCTTTACAGAGGCTCTGGACATCCGGAGAATGCCCATGAGTGACTAAGATTTCTTTAATAAGATTAAAATAACTGAAGGCCTGGGGGCCAGAGATTCGATAGTAGTCTTTAAGGCAATCTCCAACCCGGTTCCAACACCGCGGGTCAATCATCCCCTTTTAGGGGAACCAGGGGCACATTTTGAATATAAAGTCAAAAAATAAAACTAAATCCTTTTTCTTAACTCGAGTTCCTCGCACCTTGAGAGTTTGCTTTAATCAACTTATAAAAATATCACTTTGTGAACATGCTTGTCCCATGATTGGGGGCCTTACCTGGCCGAGTTCGCCGTCGAGGGGAGGGGCTCCTGGATCTGTCTCGCGGTGAGTAGTCGCGGCGATCCAATCTGTGCGGGGAAGTCACTGGCGGGGACGGCGCTTGTTCCGGCGGCTATCGGGCCTCCACGTTGGGCGCCACTTGCTCCGGCCTGCGGGAGCAGTCAACTGAGGCTCGACCACCTACCTAGAACAAATGAGTTGGGGGGGACAAGAGGCGCGAAGAATGGCAGCAAGACAAAAGATTCTGATCAAGCTGCAAACTTTATTTTTCCGAACTGGGTATATATATAGGGGGGGAGGGAGAGGAAGGAGATTAGGTTGCTTGCTATTGGTTAGCTTGAGACAAAGAAGGGCCCGCTTATTGATTACTTGGGTGCAACTGGTACTCGTGGACACCTCATGTGCCTGTAGCCGATTGGCTTGGGGAGCGCACAGGTTCCTGTAATCAATGCAATGTTTTTAGCTAGAAGCCAGGTGTAAGGTTCCCAACATCTGCTCCCCTTTTTATTACTTTGAGGGCGAGGGAGAATGTAGGTAGGGTAGACTTTAACCGGCTGGGGGAGGCAGAGGCCTGACTCCTCCTGGGCTCATTCTGAGCTTTAGGGTACCTTTTGGGAGGAGAGGAGTTGGGTACCAACCTCTTTGCAAGTCAGCTTACCTCTCAGGAGACTCGAAGTGGCCGTATGTACAGGCCTCTCCTTGCAGTGCTTTGCCTTGCACCCAGCGGTGTCTATCACAGCTACTTGGCTGTGAAGCATACCTTCGAGGGTTATGCTGCTCCCGCAGGAGGGGAACCTGGCAGGAATCGTGGGCTAGCACCCCAGCGGCTGCACGGCTCAGAGTAATGTTTTTAGCTAGAAGCCAGGTGTAAGGTTCCCAACAAAGGGAGGCTGGAAAGAGTGGCCTACCTGTGCACCAGGGTTAAGAGGAGAATACGGATGTATTGAACAGTCAGCAGTCTTGGACCTGAGCTGTATGCCGTGTGAAAGTAATAAGCCACTGACTTAATAAGCCAGTGGCTTGATTGTGAAAGTAATAAGCCACCGACGGCAAAGCAGTAACATGGTCATCATTTTCATTTTAGAAGTCATTCAATCAGCAGCGAAGAGAATGGCTTGCAGTGTTGGATGAACAGGAAGATTATTCAGTGAGACAAAAAGGGGTGCACTGATTGTCAGCAATGATCTTTGCTGAAAGAGGGGTTTGTTTGTAATTTAGATATTAGCTATCATTTTAACATTTAAAAATATCATTTATCTGGCTGCCAAGGGGAGGGGGGTGGGAGCCTGGGTGGAAAGGCGAAGGGGCTGTTAGATGCAGACTGACCCGCACAGAACAGTCGCAGGATGTAAAGTGCAGTGTAAAGGGCGTCGTTCACAGCGGTGTGGTAACTGTGTGCGGTGCGGGGTGGGTGCTGGAAGCACCAGGGGGATGGGTGCTTTGTGAGCTGTGTGATCCTCTCACCACTGTGCTGTGCACCTGAAACCGATACAAAATAATAGTCAATGTAGAATGTAATTAAAAAAATAAAACTGATTAAAAATATCATTTATCATGTTACAGAGGTAATGTGTGTTCACTGAACACAATTCTGAAAATGAGAATGGAAGATAAAACTTTTCTCTATTTTTACCAACCAGAAATAATAATTATTAATATCTTGGCATTCACTTGCACTTCAGATAGACATCCTCCTTTGCCTTTCCCCGACTTGGAGTCATGCTGTGTGGAATGTTTTATAATCTCCTTTACCCACTCACTGCAATGGGAGCTTTTTTCCCTGTACCATTATTACATTATCTTTAAAATGTGACAGTGGCAGAATCTTTGCAGCTGTTCACCAAAATCCACTCCTCCTTCCTGGGCATGCGCTAGTCTATGTTTCCAGGTTTCCCTTGCAGTTGGGTGTAGCCAATGAAATATGAGCCACTGTGATACTTGCTATTCTTGAGCCAGTGCTTTTAAGGGGCAGATGTATTTTCTTTATGTTTTTTAATTTCCCTTTCTTCTAACAAGATGCAGATGGTAACAAGGGCCTAGGGAAATTCAAAGTCATGGAATGGAAGGGCCCTAAAATTTTCAATAATTGAACAAAATGTGGGTGAAATAAATATCCATTGTGTCCGTAGCAGTATATATTCTGGGGTCTGCTTGCTATAGTGGTTTCCTCTACCCTGTTTTTCATCCCACGGGTGGACCATCATTTTTTAAAGAAACGTTTACTAGACACTAGTGGGTTGTTGAAAACGGCCCCCCATGAATGAAGCATGGCTTCCTGTGCCCATACCGCTTCACAAAGTGTCTTTGCTGCTTTTCCAACAAGATCTAGAGTGTGTTTCCTCATTCCTCAGGTCTGGGCTACCCTTAGGATTTGTTCAGGCCACCACGGAAGTGGCCTTCAGGGACTTCGGGGCCCAGACTCTAAGAGGCCTTGTAGCGTCTGGTTTTGCTCAGAGTGGATCCCAGCTGCCGAGTAAAGAAGTTCAGCTTATTCTGTGGATGAGTGTGTCTATGTGGAGAGACAGGGCCTGAAGGAAGACGTACCACGTGGAGAGAGAAGCTGTGTAAGGGAGAACCGAGGCCCAGACAGGTGTGAGCCCAGCTAATGCCATGAGAAGAGAGAGAGATCTGGCCCTCTCAGCTTACCCTCAGCCATTTGAATCACCCTGGGGGGGTGAGCAGGGAATCAAGTGAGTGAGGCCATCTTGGGTCCTCTAGCTCCAGCCCAGCCCCCAGCCAGCATCGCGCAGAGGGGAAGCAAGTCATTCCTGCAGAGCCCGGCCTACATGCCTGACCTCATGCCTGTAAGCACCACAGTGATTATTTTAAGTCACTAAGTTGTTCATGGTTAACAAGCAATAGATAACTGGTACATGGAGAACACATGCTCCCTAAATTCTGTTACGGTGAATGACAGCGATGAGCATCTTCCTTATCTGTTAAAGGAGTCTATGTTGTTTAAGTCTAGAGACTGAGTAAGAAGTCCAGTCTATCCATTTTGGTGCTCAAATTAGGTTTCTGGCCCCTGTTATAATGATGAAGTAATATTTTAATGGTCTGCAATCTACTCAAGTGCTACAGATACTGTGATCAATTAGCTATTACTAAAATCTGATTGTTTTGGCTATCCACGTTAGCCAAAACAATTGGTTACCATTTCGTCCCTGTTGCCTATTATAGGAAATTCACCAATCTTGTCTCTCATAGTTATCTGCTGTCACTTGCCTTTGTCACTCTGGAATCCCGTCATCTCCACTGAAATCAGCGAGCCAATTTCAATAGTTAGTATTTGCTCCCATCACTCTAGCCTATCGAAGAGAGCATCATAGAACTTTGTGAGGATACAGGTGGCCCCTCATTAATGTGTTTCTCAGTACCTCAGTGGAGGGAGTGACCTCTCGGAGGACATAGTTAGGTGTAGGTAGGTGGATAGGTGTGCAGATCACAGAGTATATATTCACTCCATCATTCCAACCTCCCTGAGCCTTTGGGTTCCTTCTTCTACATTATGCCAGGAAAATGCTGGCATCTTACCTTCATTGAATATAGGCTATAGCTGAGTTCAAGTGTCAATCAACAAAGAAAACTGTTAGACACACTTCTAACTGCGAGAGTCTCCAGTAACTCACATGATAACCCATAGATATAGATTTGGTCTAATCCAGTTTAAAAAAATCTGTCTTCTTTAGTCTAATAACCTTAAAATCCATGATGACTTCAGTTTCTGTCAATAAAAATTAACAACATTTTAGAATATAAACTGTCTTCATGTCTTTGTACTTGTCTCCCTGGAGCGAACGGAGATCTGACTTGTGTTACAGCCCTAGAGGTTTTGAGAAGTGGCTCGGATGGGTTTGGAGGTCATCACAGGGCCTTCACACAAGTCTCCTCAGGTGCAAGTAGGCAGGCTGCTGCAAGACTTTCAACTTTTCCCAAGTCAAGCTAGATTAATTCCTATTCCAAGTTCCTGATTCCTTATTACCAATCGATGCCTTAACTTTCACATACAAGACTAGCAATTTATGGGTTCAGTTTAATTCTGCAACACACAGAATTAAATTTTGGGTCATTGTCAGCCCTGTAGCTATAAGAAATAAGTAATTATTTTAGGACTACCATAAAAGCTCTCCGATTCTCTATGACTTGAGCTAAGAGTTAAAGATCTGAGCTTGTCGTTATTCATAGGCACTCCACGTGCACTCAAAGGCATCATTGCTACTTCTGGCAGCGTGGTAGTCAACTGGTCTCTCTAGGGCTTCAGAAAGCATTTCATCTCCCTCAAACTCAGGTGATCAAGCACTATGTCACAGTGTAGTGTGACTTCTTATATCCCAGTCCCCTAGAAAAGCAGCTTATTGCTGTGTTCAAAGCTCACGGCATGGCCAAACCAACCTAAGCATCTCATTTGGAGGGGCTGTTTCCCAGGACTACTTCTCATGCTAAGTATCATATCAGAGTCCATTAGTACAGCAGAATCATACTAAGTATCTTACCAGAAAAAATCAGTATAAGGAATTGGTTGTATAGATGTTTGAGAACTGAAAAGCACACATGCAGCACTGAGGTAACACAGAGACAATGGATGAAAAGAGTTACATATAACCCCTGGAGCCAAGGAAACAAGGAACAGAGTTTGGGGTTATCAGAATTTAGACTTTTGGAGGAAGGGATTTGCAGAATTGGGACCCAGATTTTTGAGGGCAGAACACCATCCAGTTGCTGCTAATACCTATGAGGGCTAAAGTAGTTCTGTCAGTGTGTCAGAAAGAGTTAGAGACTAGAACTAGCTGCCAGTACCTGAGATGAAGAGCTACGCTCCTAATAAGGGAGCAAACTAGAAGGAACAGGGTTTTCTCTCCTCTGCTGCCTTGCAGCCGCCCTCTAGTGGTTTATATTGGTATATCTACCAGTTGTCAACATAGAAGGGTGGGATTGAAGCTCAGATACCACAGCTGGGTGGGTCAAAAGTACTTGTCATTTAGTATGTTGGTGTGTGTGCATGCACACACACACACACACACACACACACACACACACACACACACACACACTCCTAAGACTTGGTACACACTATTTTGGCATAAAAATAATTTCTTTCTTATTACAATGGCAATACATATTTTTCTTTAAATAGAAAATACAAATAAGCTCTTAGAAAAAAAGATCTATTCTGCTGCTGGAAAGATAATCATTGCTAACACTTTAATTTAGATCCTTCCAGAATTTTTCTCAGTGCATAGATATGTATGTTTTTCATGGAATCACATTGTCCACACGGTTTTCCAAACTGCTTTAAAAAATGCTTTACTGTATCACCCAAAATTACTCACCTCAATACATATTTACTTATTTACAACAGTGGGTTCCAAACTATCCTTAGGGAGTGTTTTATGTGCCATCTCCAGGAGCCTGGGTAGGAGGCCTCAGGGGGAGCGCCCCATATTCTACATCCACCCTTATCCACGGCAATGCTGCTTTTACTTGTTTTTGTCTTGTTTTGTTTTATGTTTTTAATTTCTATGCAAGGCTTTGTGGGGAAAAAGAAGTCTACTGCCAAAATATTAGAAAACAACTGATTCACAGTGTGAATATAATATCACTTTCTCTTTCGTGATGATAACGACGAAGGATCACTTCTTACCTAAAATTGCGTCTAAAGCCTAGTAGCATGGGACATGCTTTTAACTCTTTGCACATTTGACAATACCTCAAAATTATTTTAACCCATATTTCTTGAGTCACTGATGAGATAGACAAGGCTTCATATACTTAATGGTCACTCGCGTCTGTGGCAGTCTTGCTTTGCAGACCAGGACATTTTAGAGTGTGGCCCTAAAGCCTGCCTTTCTCTCTCATGTACGCAGCCCGTGCCTCTTCCACATCCCTCAGTTCAAGAAAGCTCTGATTTCGAATACCCCGCTGCTCACCAGAACCCCATCTCCCTGCTCTCCACTCTTGGCAATGGTCACGGATCCGCCTCCACTGGCAAAATAGAAGCTCTCTTTTGGGGGGCTCCCTCATCTATCCATTACCCCACCCCAGGCATCCACATCTAAGGCCATCTTTAATATTCTTCCGGCTCAGAGAAAGAAAAGGCTTTTCAAAGTTGAAGCCAACCCCTCCGTCTAAGCACATGATCCCATCTCTGCTCATCTCCTCTGGGACCCAGTATGGCGCCTGGCAAATAGCTGATGCTCAGATAGCTTATTGAATAAATAATGAGTCTTGCTCCATCAGTTCCCTCCCCTTTATCTTTAGTATGCCCATCTTCTCTCACTGCTTTGGCTTTTTTCCCTTAGCCTACACGTGTGACCCAATAATTTCCTGTCTCTGCTGGTCAGTTTTATGTGTCGGTTTCGCTAGGCTCAGTTACTCAATTGAATTGTGGTCTAGGTGTGGCTGTAAAGGTGTTCTGTAGATGTGATTATGAGCTACAACCAGTTGACTCAATGAAAAAGAGATTATCTGGGGTATTTGGGTGAGCCTGAGCTAATCAGTTGTAAAAGCCGGAAGACTGAGGATGGGAAGGAGGAAGAAGAAATCCCACTGTGGACAGCAGTGCCAGCCGCTGCCTGAGAGATTCCAGCCTGCTCTTCCTTGGTTGCCTGCCCGGTAGGTCTGAGACTCGACTATCCTCCAAGGCCCACAATTGTGTAAGCCAGTTTCTTTCAATAAATCCCTGACATCATCTATCTGTTATCTATGGATCTATCTCTTCTACTGGTTCTGTTTGACTGGTGGAACCCTGACTGATATACCATCCTTAAAATCAGAACAAAACAAAACAATACCCTCCATACTCTGCTTGACCCTGCATCTCACTATTACCACATAAACTATTTTCCCTTCTTACCTAAGCTTTTAAAACATCCTATATTCACCACCTCTACTCTCTCTCTTTGTAATTACCCTCTGAGCTATAGTCCCATCTGTTTACCTGGTGAATCAGACATACTCTTGTAGACAGCCCACGGGAAATCTCAGTATTTCAAACGTTATCTCATTATCCAGGCCTAAATCTGTTCTTTTGAAAGCTATCTCTCAAACTCAAGGTAAAAATCTGAAAGCATACTACAGACCTAACTATCTAAACACTAGACATCTAAATAAGTCATACTGTCCATCCTCAGTGTGGGTATCTAGCAAGGGCCATCATTTCAGTTCAGGCCCTTACGCTGTCTTGCATCACACTACCTTACAACCGGCCTCATCTCTTTATTTTTAAAGATTTTATTTATTTATTTTTAGAGAGTGGGAGAAGGGATGGAGAAAGAGGGAGAGAAACTTTGATGGCCGGCCCACAACCCCAGGCATGTGCCCAGACTGGGAATCAAACTAGCAACCTTTCAGTCCACAGTCCAGTGCTCAATCCACTGAGCAACACCAGCCAGGGCTAGCCCCATCTTTTTAAAATCTGTTGTCCAGTATGCTCTTCCTCTGATGCACGGTGACTGAAAGTGCCCTGCCTAAGACTCAGTGACTCCTTCATCACCTGCACCAAGGGCTACCCAACCCTGCCCACCATTACAAGAACCTTTTAAATGGCATAGATTAGAGCCCCACTCAGACCTAGTGAATATGAATTTCCAAAGTGGGGCCTGAGAAACTCTGATTTTAAAAGCTATCCAGGAAATTCTGATCAGCCGGGTTCAGGAACCACCAGTCTTCAGGGGAAAATCCCAATTCTGCCCGTGATCTGACACCACTCCTCCCAGCTTCAGCCCTCGGCGCACACCATGCTCCAGCAACGCCGACCCAGCGCTAGTGTGTCTTTCAGTCCATGCTGATTAATACCTCCCTGCCAGCAATGCCCTTCCCTCATCTGCCTGGGGAAATCCTATTCGACCTTCAAAAACGCTATTCAAGCATCATTTAGTCTCTTGTTCAGCCAGTGAATATTGATACACTCAGGAAATTATACACATTCACTATGTGCTGTTCTTTGTATATCAATTATACCTCAATAAAGCTGTTAAATTTACTGAGGTCTGAGCAAAGCATTGAGATACAGAAGTCAGTAGCCTATGCTGATAGTACTGCCTTCAGTAAACTCACAGGCCACTGCAGAAGGAGACAATCAAATTACACAATACGATGAGGTAAATTGTGTGAGTCTGTGGTAGGCTGAATAATGCCCCCCCAATAACGCCCACATCCTAATACCCAGAATCTGTGAATATATTACTTTACATTACAAAACAGATTTTGTAGATACGATTAAATTAAAGATTCTGAGATGGGGAGATTATCCCATTATTTTGGTGAACTCAACATAATCCCTAGGGTCCTCTAAGAGGGAGGCAGGCAGTAGGATGAGACAGAGGGTGGAAGGAGACTGGAAGATGCTATGCTACAGAGTTTGAAAATGGAGGATGGAGACATGAACCAAGAAACGCAGGTGGTCTCTAGAAGCTAGACAAAGCAAGGAAGTGAATTCTCCAGTAGAGCCTCCAGAAAGAACCAGCTCTGTTAACTCTGGTCCAGTGAGGTTGATTTTGAACTTCTGACCTTCAGTACAGTCATATATATGACTGTATTGTTGTAAGTGATGATGTTTGTAGTAATTTGCTATAGCAGCAACACGAAGCTAATGCAGAGGTCAACACAAGACACTGTAGTACATAAAGGGATCTCTATGATCAAGATGTGGAGTGGGGAAGGAATGTTCAGGAAGAATTACCCAGAGGAGATGACACGAGAGCTGAGGAAGGGAGATTGTGTTTCAGAAGGACGTTGCAGGTAGAGAAGTTAGTGCGTGCCAGGCACACAAGGGGCAAGGGAGGTGTTCCAATAAGGCAAGCCTACTTGTATTAAACATTAGAAGTAATATCAACAATATTAATTCTGGCAAATGTTTCTATGCCAGGCACTATTCTAAAGCATTTACAAGTCTGTGAGGCGAGACTATTATTATTTTCATTTTACTATTGGAATACTAAGGTTTGGAGGAATTAAGCAACTTTTCTGAGATCAGAGAGCCAGTAAACGGCAGAGCTTTAATTAGAACCTTGGCAGTGTCTTTGAAACCCACAAACTGCCTCTCTAATACATTACTGTAGGAGTCTTAACTACTTAAGTAAGGTGGTATCAGTGTGGTTGAAGATAAATGAACTATTTAAAAGATAATAATGAGGTAAGGATCAGCAGAGCTTGGAACGCTGTCTAGTCTTGGATATTGAGGATGGAATTGATACTCAGCCAACTTCCAAGTTTCTTTGATGTGATTGTGCGGTTTTGCCATTGCTCAAGACAGAAGAGTCTTGACTTTCTCAAAGTAGATCACTCCTGTGTTACGAATTCTACACTTTGCATAATCCTCTTTATTTCATTTCGTCCTTCCCCCCTAAGGTCTGAGGCAGAGTTGGGGGATGCATACACCAATTCAACTCTCAGCTTCAGTTTCCACATCTGTAAAATACCTTCGACTATCGTAGTTCCAAACTTGGTCGTGCTTTAAAACCCCTGTAGGTAAGCCTTAAGAAAAATGCAGATTCCTCGCCCCATTTCCGAGATCCTAATTGGGTAGTTTCAGGATAGGACTTTCCTCCCCCAAACTTTCCCAAATGATGCGTCCAGGTTTTTGGTGACTACATCAGTCCTTTCCAGTTCACTGGGTCTGGTCCACGATTCCGTGAGGGCCCCGCCTCCTCCCCGCCTCTAGCCCCGCCCCAGGCCCCTTTGCCGTCCTCCTCCCCCCACCCCATAGATTTGGTCCCGTCTAGTCTCCCCGCCCCTCCTTCGGTTGCACCACCGCTCTCGTCCAGCCCCGCCTTTCCTGGCCCCTCCCTGTCAAGCAGCATGGCCGCGGTGCTGCAGGGCCCGGAGCCTTGGAACCGCGTGAGAATCCCTAAGGCGGGGAGCAGCACTACAGTGACAGTACAGGACCTCGGCGAGTCCTTGGGTGAGTGAGGAACCCTGCGAACCGACCGACGTTTTGGGGGTGGTGTCAGGCCCGGGCGGCGCACGTGCGCGGAGGGCGGGACTTCCGGGGCCGGGGGCACTGGGAAGGGGCGATGGTTCCCTGGAGCTAGTGCTGGGCTCGGAGTTTGCCTAGGAGTCTCGGAAGGCTTGTCGTTTCGCAGCCGCTTCGTGATCAGCTGTGGCTACCGCAGCGCCGGGCTGGAGCTAGCCAGCCCCAAGGCCCAGCCCCGTGCGGAGGGGGAGGAGAAAGGCGGACGCGGCTAGCGTCACGGAAGAGTGCTGCGTGGGAACCCTGTGCTCATTCCCGAGGGCCACCAGGAGTCCGCTTTACCTTCCATCAGTTTCCGACCTCTGCCTGGGAGCGGCCGGAGGGGGCCACTTAGGCACTCTGGACTTAAACTGCGATCTTTCTGGGCCTCTGGTTCCTCATTTGTAAAATGGGGTTAGTCCTACCCATCACCCGTTGTTGGGAGCAGCTGGTGATGCTCATCTTTATGTTTTATTTTTATTGGTAATATCCAACAGGTTGCGGTGTATAATTACAACAGTCAATCTAGATTTTCTGAGGTAGCTTTAAATATTCTTTAAATTTTAAATATTCTGCTCTGTGATCAGAATTCTGTGTGATTCTAGTTCATGATTACATACCCAGAAACTAGTACAGTACCTGGCACACAGTAAGTACTCAGGCAATGCATGCAAAATGAACAACTGAATAATAGTCTTTGGCAGACAGTGTGCTCTGCTATTGGTTTTAAAATTAGGTCACTGACTATATTTAGAATAGACATAAACAAGCATTTGTTTTTGACCACAGAAGTTTAAAATTTAATATGCAAACATCAGTATTTATAGTTAAAAACAAGCTTGGAAAAGTACTTGGCAGAATACGTAATAGCAGATTAGCTTAACATTTTCTTTGAATTTTCAGTTACAGTTACATGCTATATTATATTAGTTTCAGGTGTATCATAAATGATTAGACATTTATGCAACTTATGAAGTGATCACCCCATAAGTCTAGTAGAGGGGAGAGTGCTCTCAAAGTGTTTTACCAGTGTATGATGTTGTTGACATTTTTAGGCAGTAGAGCGTAGTAGCCAGATTGCCTAGGTTTGAATTATGTCTCTTTCCTTTGCTGGGAATTGTTGTTGTCTAACCCAGTGATTTTCAACCTTTCTCATCTCGTGGCACACACAAACTAATTACAGAAATCCTGTGGCACACTAACAATATATATTTTTTGCTGATCTGGCAAAAATTAGGTATACTTTTGATTCATTCATACTGGACAGCCATTGTTGTTTTGGCTTTTGTTATTTTTTTAAATTTAACTACATAAGGGAAAAGAGTCAGTGCGCCTGACTAATGTCAGGTATTACATGTTTTATAATTTCTTGCTCCAAGGATGTGGAGAAAAGGGAACTCTGGTACACTGTTGGTGTGAATGCAGACTGGGGCAGCCACTATGGAAAAACAGTATGGAGTTTCCTCAAGAAATTAAAAATGGACTTGAGTTTTGACCCAGCAATTCCACTTCTGGGAATATAGCCTAAGAATCCTGGAACATCAGTACAAAAGAATATAGGCACTGCTATGTTCATAGTCAGTTGGGCACTGACCTCTTTTACCTTAGATTGTCATAAAAAAATAAAAAGCCAACACAACAGTAGCTCTCTGGCGTGAATGAATCAAAATTACGTCTATTTTTTCTGTCAGATCCACACAAAATATATTTGGTGTGCTGCATAATTTTAGTAATTAGTTTGTGTGCCATGAGATAAAAAAAAAGTTGAAAATAGCTGCTTTAGAACAAAAAAGGAAAGATGCTTCTTTCAGTGTATTTTTCTATAATACACTTAATGCATATTAAGCCTTAATTCAATTTCTCTGCTTTAGACCTTTGTGTTGCAGCTGTAATCAAAGAGTGCTCTCTGGTTACACTGTCACTGAAGAGCCAGACCTTAGATGCAGAAGCAGGTGTGTTATGCGCGGTCCTTTACAGCAATCACTACAGAATGGGCCGCCACAAGCCTCACTTGGCCCTGAAACAGGTAAGGAACCCTTGCTCGAGAAGGACATGTTTACTTGATGAAGATGGAGATCACCCTACTTAATATTTTGTTATTTATGGGAACTGAGTGAATTACTTGCGACTTACAAGAACTTTAATTCTTTCCCAGTTTTGTTTCGAGTGTGTGATTTTTATGAAAAGTTTTTTTTCGTTTACACAATCTATAATAAGTTATAGTGGCTTTGCCTACTTCTAGGATATAGTGATTTGATCAAGACAAAGTGTTAAGTTAAGAAATAATTTCCTGCCCTGGTTGGTGTAGCTCAGTGGATTGAGTGCCAGCCTGTGAACCAGAGTGGCTGGTTTGACTCCTAATCAGGGCACAGGCCTGAGTTGCAGGTCAGGTCCCCAAGTAGGGATCACATGAGAGGCAGCCACACATCGATGTTTCTCTCCCTCTTTTTCTCCCTCCCTTTCCCCTCTCTAAAATAAATAAATAAACAAAAAATAAATTAAAAAAAAAAGAAAGAAATGACATCCTGGGCATGGCCAAAATCCTAAAATCCTACAAAGAACCAAGTTGTTTGTTTATTGTGGGACAAATCATCTAATTGGTAATATGTTAGAGTAAAAGGGTACATAACAAGCTATGTGAAGTGGTTTCACGTAATTTTTGGAATTTAAGACAAAATTGGGCCCTCCAGTTTTGGAGCTACACCAAAGACTGCAGCCTCCTAGGCTGGGTTCTTTATATTCTCATCCATTGACTCCTTCTATTCTGTAATATTTCTCGTAACTTTCTATGTATCAGACACTGTGCTTGGTCCTTGGTTACAGGGGAGAAAAACACACAGTCTCTAAACTTACAGACTCATGTTCTCTGGTTAATTTTCTGCTCCCTTAAGATGAAAAAAAATGATTTCTTCATCAAAGAAAGATTTGGAATCATGGTATATCCCTTAGGTTTGTGTCTGGGCAACCTTTATCTCTGAGTTTTTAACTCCAGATTGAACACATTTCTCCTCCTGGATTCCAGGTTATGAATAATATCCAGTCAGAAGAATTTGGTGTCCCTTTTCTCTGCTTCTTCCTTTTGTGTAGCTCTGCCATCTAGTCTATCAGTCATTCCAAACTATCTCTGCATCTAGTCCATTCTTTTAGTTCTGGCTGCATCTTTTTTGACCTGTCAACTTTTAATTGTCTTGCTATTCTAACTAATCTTTCCTTCATCTTCACATTTTCTATAAAGCAAATCAGATTAATCATCCTAAAACACAGCTTTGAATTTTAGTGGTTCTCTATTGCCTTGTGAATAAAAACCAAACGTCTTAGTTTTGGCTTACAAGATTCTTTAGGGTCTGTCTGCTTCAGTTTTCCTAGTTCTCTCTTGCCTTCAGCTGTTTTACACTCCAGGCAAACTGAATTCATGAGTCCTCACCTTGTTTTTTTCCCTCACCTGAGCCTTTGCTTTACCTGGTCCTGTGTGTTTGCTCCTTCTATTGCTCTCTGTTAAAGGCCTTCTCCTTTTCTAAGTCCCATTTCAAGCCTTCCCAGAAGTGATAACTTCTTCCCAATGGGTAACATGAGTGTTTATCGTGGTAATCTCACTTTAAGTTGCATTCTGATTAGTGAAGTTGAACTCCTTCTGTTTTTGTGATTCTTGGCTATCCAGGCCCCCCATTTGTGCTTGCCTTACTGCATTTGGCACAGTGTGTGTTGCAGTACAGGTATCTGTGTACATGTTTTACGTTCCCCTCCATCGCTTAGAACAGGGAACATGCCTCCTGCTACTGCTGCAACTCCTATTACTATTACTGCTACTGCCTTACATCTGCTTAACATTTCAGTTTACAAAGAACTTTCATCTACTTTAAGGTTTCTTTTTTCTACGTTCAAAAGCTAGATACCGCAGTTAGCTTCACTCTAATTTCCCCCAGTGGAGCATAGAAAATAGTCTTAATTCTTCTGTGTTACAGTACTTAAGAGTATATAAAAATTGTTCCCATGGTCCTCCACGTTCTCTCTTCCTTGCTAAACTCAAATATCTGCCCCCTCCCCTTTTTTGAACCATAGTTTTTTGAACCATGTTTCTCAATAGCTTTACTGTCTTGGTTTGTCAATACTTCTCTCAAAGCATGGTGTCCAGAATTAAAAAATGATCAAGAGCTGACCCCAGAGAATTTAGGGATTGTCGCCTCCATTGCTCTGGAAACCATCCTTTCAAGAGAGAATCCATAACTTGGATGGAGTTATTAGTAGCACATATGCAGCTCTGATGAGATACTGCCTCTGCCAGTGTCAGTGACCATCCAGATCCTGACGTCCGTCAGTCTGGGTGCTGCCCCCTGCGTGCCCTTTGTGTGGTATTGTGTGAGACTACGCAGTTCTTACCACGGTTTACTTAATGAATGGTCCTCACCTTTTTTTTTCTTTTGGATAAAAAAGTGCTATTAAATGTCTTCTCAGTACTCAGTACTGAGTTACAGTGGTAGCTGAAGTAGACAAGATATATTGCTGTCATGGAACTTCCAGCTTTGCTGGTCACACGAGTGGCCTTGTCTGTGTTGTATACACATGAATGTGAACTGCTCTTCCCCTTTCAGGTTGAACAATGTTTAAAACGTTTGAAAAACATGAACTTGGAGGGTTCCATTCAAGAACTGTCTGACTCGTTTTCTTCCAAGTAAGTGGTCCAGTTGCTCTGTGTGGGCTTAGTGGTTGGGAACTCCATCTTGCTGTGACCTCCCTTTGCATTTTTTTCCTACTTGGTGTTGAAATGTGACCACTTGTACCTCAGCTCTACAAATTTTGTTTTAATAAGGGGCACCTGGTATTTATGGTAATCTCCCTTTGTTGGCTTGTGGGAGGGACTGGCATGACTTGACATCTGGGACATGATTATATTAAAAAATATTAGTGTCCATAAACTTCAGTGAGTCATTATTGAGTGCAGCTAACTCAAATTGTGCTTAAAGCAGCTCTGCACTTGAACACTGCTATATGAGTGCTTTATATTTAGTAGTGAAAGTAATGTACCTTTCTTTTTTTTTTCAAGTGAAAATCAGCCTTTAACAACTGAAGTGCGTATCATTCCCAGCCAGCCAGTGGTAGAATTGGTGCTGGTGAAGATTTTGGGAGCCTGTAAATTATTACTTCGCTTGATGGACTGTTGCTGCAAGACATTTCTGTATCCTTGAGTCAACTGAAATGCTGTACCATCTCAGTGGGAATTGTGTGTATAACTTTAGTAGTATTTCTGTTTGAGAGCTTGGGTTGGGGTCTGTAGGAGTTATAGCCAATGGGAATTATTATTATTTTTTTTAATTCTTACCTGAGGGTAAGTTTTATTGATTTTAGAGAGAGGAAAGGGAGGGGAGAGAAAGGGAGAGAGACATTGATGTCTCACATCGCTTGGTTGCCTCCTGTATGCACCCGCACGTAGGCATGTGCCCCGACCAGGAATCAAACCTGCCACCTTCCTGGTGTACAGGACTATGCCCTACCTACTCTGCCACCTGGCCAGGGCCTGTGGGGATTCTTAAAAATTTTCTTGTTTTTTTTGTATTTTATTCAGTTTTTATTATATATTTTTATATTACCTTTTAGTCCCCTTACACCCTACCGCCCAAGATTCTGCTTCTCTCCCAGGAATTACCTGATACAACCATTGCCAGAGATTACCTTTCTCTAGTATATATTACCCTAAAGGTACTGACAGTTAGAAATTCTTAATCTTGGAAACCGAACCTTAGCAACAAACAAAAAAAGCAAATTAAAAAAAGTGAAAATAAAAAACCCACAAAAATGAAACTAAACCTTAGAAACTAAATTTAATAATGAAAGCTCTAGCAGATTGTATATTACTTTATTTTTAAATTTTTTAAAGATTTTATTTATTTATTTTTAGAGAGAGGGGAAGGGAGGGAGAAAGAGAGGGAGAGAAACATCAATGTGTGGTTGCCTCTTGAATTCCCCCACTGGGAACCTGGCCTGCAACCCAGGCAGGTGCCCTGACTGAGACTCGAACCAGTGACCTTTTGGTTCACAGGCTGGTTCTCAGTCCACTGAGCCACACCAGCCAGGGCTTATTTTTAAATTTCCGTGAGTTAAATAGAACGTGTTTTAAGGCAGTACCTCATTTTTAGGACTATAAGACACACCAGACCATAACATACACCTAGATTTTAGAGGAATAGGAAAAAAATTTTTGAAGCAAAAAACGTGGTAATATATTTAATAACCTGTGACCCCGCTCCACTGCCGCTGCCCCCCCACCCCTGCCAGAGCCAGGTAAGTTACATTCGGACTATAAGACGTACCCTCATTTTCCTCCCAAATTGGAGTGTGTGTCTTATAGTCTGAAAAACACGGTAATTCTTTAACAACATTCTCTTTCCAATCTAGTTCTTTCATAAGTGTACCTTACAAAATTCAAATTATTTTGGTTTTATTTTCTAACTTAATTTAATCCTCCAGCTTGACTGTGAAACACCTAGGTTTGCAAGAATTCATTATTTTAAACCTTGTGATAGTTGGGTTGGTGAGCAGATTATGGTATGTATGTACACACCTTTGAAATCTTTCATTTCTTTTTTATTTTTTTAACTCAGCCTGGGTTTCTCATCAGTTTTCAAGTTTGTTTTCCCACGGGATGCTGAAGTTGCGGGAGCTCTGGTGTCATTTGATCAGAGTTTATATGGAGTGGATTTGGAAGCTAAGTGTTGAAGGTTATGTTAAAAGGTTAGGCTTTAAATCTGAAACTAAGAGACTCTGCAACACTAAACACTTAAGCAAATGAATTCCTAGGATTAGCAACTTGAAAAATTAAAAAGCAGTTGCCATAATCATACAGCGACTGGCCCATTTTAAATTAAGGTATTCCTGGGCAGGCTGTATTACTTCTTTTTGCCTTTTGGTTTCCAATTTTTAATGCTCATGACCTTCCTTGTGTGCTCCAGATTTTTTTTTCCCACCTGAAATACCACTTTTTTTTTCCTTTTTCCTAAACACCTTTACTGCTTAATTAACTAGAGCCATTTCTGTGTCTTGCAAACAAGAACTGTGAGTGATGCGGAGCCCTCTTTTGCTTCAGGACTGGAATGCGTGGGGTCTGGAAAGACACCACTGCTTCTTGAGGTGTAGTTAGTTGGTGTAAAGAACACTGGCACTGGCTGCAAACCAGAGACCTTCGCTTACATTCTCAGTACATACAACTGGACTCGGAATCTGCCCATATTTGTAGAGATACCAGTTTTTGGCCATTTTAGACAGTTGGGATAGTTATCTCTAGTTTGAATTAAAACTAAAAACAAACAAAATTGTCTTGAGATTAAAGCTTTGCTTTGATATCTTTCTTTACCTGTATATCTTAAGTACGATTTCCGGTGCTGTTTTTTATTCTTAGAGGTAACAGTGTTAAAATTATTAAACATTATTTTCAATGTCAAACATTCATTTTTTTTTCAATAAAAGTAACTTAAGTCTTGCTAATTACAATGATACATGCTTATTTTGAAAAACTAGAAACAATGTAAATAACCTGAAAACTACCTAAACTCTCACCATCTAGATAAAACCAAACTTAGGATTTTGCTACACATCCTCTGAGACAGCCTTCTGTCTAGTGCTTTAGTTTTAAGTAACACTTTCTTTTGTACTTAGGTTTTTTGTGAAGGCTAGATTGATCTTGCTATTTGCAAGGATGTGCTGTAGTTCTTTCTTTTTAATCTGTAGGGGCAGATTGAAAGGCATTTATTTGCAGTTTTGAATTGTGGTTATTATATAATCTGCAAATTGTACTTACTGGTTAATTCATGAGCTCCTGTTTCTTTCTCTAGGGTTCTCTATAAAGGTGTTTTAAAAAGGCTGATTTCTTTATATGAGCCATTGTTTGGATTGCTTCAAGAGGTCTCTAGGATTCAACCATTGCCTTACTTCGAAGATTTTATCTTTCCTTCTGATATTATTGAATTTTTAGGACAACCCTATTTTGAGGTCTTTAAGAAAAATATGCCTGCAGCTTTTGCAGCTAAAGGAGTAACTAAATTGCTAAATAAACTGTTCTTAACAAAAGAGCAGTCACTGAGATGCAGTGAAGAAACTTCACTTAGAATTTCCAAAAAAACTAAACAAATGAAGATCAATCTACAGAATAATGTGGATCTTGGAGAGCCAGTAAAGAATAAGAAAATCCTCAAAGGTAATATGCTTTGATATAGCACATACTAAGACAAAAATAAAACTTGAAATTACAGTATAACCATGGATTGTGTAGAAAGAAATCCTATACCTTTTAACTCACATTATCTTCAGAGAGAGATGGTAATACCCATGTGTGTTTTCTAAGCTTGAACATTTAAAGTTATTTATTTCTGTTGTTCCATGGTTCTTTGCTTGCTTTATTTCCTTTGTAGTAATTTGGCAAGAAATACCATCATGCACTTAATAATTTGTTGGTTTGAAAACAGTGTGCCTAAGTTTTTGTATTTGATCTTTCCATCTCCACAGAAAAATCATGTGGATTTGATGTGAGAGCTTTCTGCAGACAGCTGAAACACAAAGCTATTCAGGTTTGGCTTCGTTTCTTTCTTTCTTTTTTTTTTTTTTAAATTTTTGTTGTCCTGGCTGGTGTAGCTCAGTGGATTGAGCGCGGGCTTGCGAACCAATCGCGGTTCGATTCCCAGTCAGGGCACATACTGGGGTTGCAGACCGGTTCCCTGCAGGCCACTTCCCAGCAGGGGACGCATGAAAGGCAACCATACATTGATATTTCTCTCCCTCTCTCCTTCCCTTCCCCTCTAAAGATAAATAAATTTTAAAAAAAAGAAAATAAGAAGCTTTCATTAAAAAAAAATTTTTGTTGTTGTTGTTCAAGTACAGTTGTTTGCATCCCCCCCCCACTCCTCCCCTTCCCACCCATCCTCACCTCCCTCCCCTGATTCTGCCCACCCTTGGTTATATCCATATGTCCTTTATAGTTGTTCCTGAAATCCCTTCCCCCCTTTCCCCTCCTTTTGGCTGATATCAAGTGTAGTATCTGTTTTTATCAGGTTTGGCTTATTTTAATACAGCTTTTGATTTCTGCTAATTTATAGAGTAGATGCCACTTACCAAGGATAGAGACTGAATCTTTGTTTTTATCTGTAGCCCTAAGTAAGCTAAGTATCGTGGTAGTTCTCAGTCTGTGCTTCTGAACAGAAGTACTGCAAGGGATTTTAGTGCATCCAGTTATTCAGTTAATAGAATCTTTCAGAAATATTTTACTGAAAGTTTTGCTACCATTTAAAAGTGCCTCTAGGATCCATCACAGGTATAGATTGTACTGTAGCTTAAGGGTGTGGGCCTTGCAGTCAGAAATGCTTTGAGTCCTGGCTTTGGTCTGTACTAGCTGTGTGACCTCGTGTAAGTTTCTTGACCTGTCCATACCTCTGTTTTCTAATAGTATGTACCTTGTAGGGTTTTGCTGCTGTTCATTACATGAATGTGTTCATTAGATGAATACATGTAATGTGTTCAGCACAGAGTCAGGAGTATAGTAGGGCACATAAGTGGTGTTAGATGTTATCTATTTTCAGTGTCATTATCATCATCTTCATCCTTTGTCATGAGGCTTCTATTTCCTTCTTCCTGTCAGGGTTCAAGTTTTAACATGATTCCTCTTCTTAGTCAGGGTCTGTAATTTCTGTTTGTTCTGGACCTCACAACAGATAAGTATGTCAGTGTTACCCTTCTCATCGGTAACTGCGTGACTTATATTACCCTTTGTCTTTTCAAAATTGTTTTTCTCTAGTTTGCTTTATGGGTTATTTCTTCCATTCTATTTAATAATCTTAATCATTTCTCATAAGTCAGAGTACTTTCTTGGACGTTTATTTACAAGGCTTTCAGCTTCCATTTACATTGTGTCCAATTCATGAGTTCCAGAGGGAGGAGTGATAACAACAATAATAATAATGGCTAATATGTCCTTACATTTACTCTTTGCCAGGCATTGTTCCAAACATTTTAACTCGTATCATCCTCACAAAAGCTCTCCGAGATAGGTGCTATTATTGTTTCCATATTCCAGGTGAGAGAATTGAGGCATAGAAAGGACAGAAACTTGCTCAGGTTACACAGCAAATACAGGGCAGAGCTGGGATTTGAATGCAGGCAGCTTGGTTCATAGTCTTTGTTCATTACCCTTTGCATCAGCCCCCCAAAATAGTGTCAACTGCTTTAAGAACTGTGGCTCTCTGTGACCCTTGAAAGTTCTGCAGTCCATCCACCTATTCCTAGGTTTTGAAGCTGGTTGGTCAGCATCCTTCTTATTTATGACTATTACTGCCACATTTTTAGCAATTAGCATTAATATGCTTAGTTTGCTTTTAGGTAAGACTTCTTTACCAATCAATAGCACAAAGTACTGATAGGTCTCTACTTTAATATTTTTACTACTTTTTTATGTTCTTGAGGGTAAGAAATTTGGAAGAAGGTAAGCTTTGATTGAAGGATGGAAGCACACCTGGTAGGTGGCATATTTTCATAAACAGTAAAAGTTGGTAAAATTCAAACTTGACTTTATAGATGGATTGAAGAGACAAAGGTGCCCCATGAAAAGATGGTTGAATTAGAAGTGGAAATGGGGCCCCGTTAAGCATTTTTAAGATATGTTGAGCAGTCATCTTGTCTTCATGTGTTTCAGTAGCATTTATAACCTGTTATTCAGGAGGGTGACTGAGGGTGCAGAAGTGAGAACAAGTTGGGGTCATCTGGCATGCAGAGGAAAAGGACTCTCAGTGATTTTCCCCCCATCAGATAGGCTTTGACCAATATTTAATCGTGTGGAGTTTTATTCTTATGTGTGGGTAAAAGAAATGTGTTAGGATATTTATGTTGTTTCCTGTGTGTAACTGAATTCAGCTATGGATGGGATCTACTGCAGCACAGTGGGGGGAGTCATCTTGTGTTGGGAGCAGTAGATACCAAGTTAAGTTTTTTAAAACAAAAGGGAAGTACAGTGAACTAAAAGTTTTTCTTTAAAGATAAATTTTCAAATTTTGATAATTTGTCAGTTTCTCTCCCTTTTCATGTAATTTATAATTCAGAAACAAATCATGTTTTTCTCACCTTTCCGTTTTTCAGGAGGCCAGCTCTGAGCTTAAATGTCCTCAGCCCCACCTAAAAGCAACCAAACATTCTTCTCAGGAAGTGATAGGAACTCCTTGTGCCGAAAGTTTGGTGCAAAGATTGCAAGAGGCTGAGACTTTCATACAACTTTCTGAAGAAATCCAAATGGCGATTTTATGGTGCAGGAGCAAAAAACTCAAGGCTCAGGCTTCCTTTCTGGGCAACAAACTTCTTAAAAGTAACCGCCTTAAACATGTGGAAGCCCAAGGTTATAGGTGGGTATATTACAAAACTTATATCCCTTTTTTTGTTGTCATTTAGAAGAGCATATATATTCGGGTAAAGTCAGTTTTTAAAATGGGACGGCCAGTAGCCCGAGAGCGGCTAAAAGGGGGATCTATGCAAACTGCAATTTTGTCTGCAGCTTTCGTTGGGCCAAGTTACATCACTGGGAGGAATAAAGTTAGTTAATTCTAACTAACTATAAATGAATATATCCAATATTCATTTATATTCAATATATTCAATATTGGATATATTCATTTATACTCTTCACTGTTCTGACTGTTCACTTAGAAGTATTAGAAGTGTTTGGGGATACAACTGTGTGTAAAGCAGAATCCTCAGAGAGTTCTAGCTTTAGTAGGAGAGGTGGCCAGTCTGCCCACAACTTCAGTGCAGCAGGAAGACTGTGAGAGCAGAAGCAGAAGGTGCCTGCCTGCTACAGGGGCGCACACCAGACTCCGAGCTCAGGTAACATTTGTTCACAGGAGCTGGACTCTCCATGTGTTGATTTCTTTCCTTCCTGTGAATTTTTCCATTCATTGAACTGCTTAGGGATCCACATGTTTGTTTGTGAGCCTGTGCACTTGAAATTAAACATGAAGTTAGACACTTGAGGGTTTTATTTTTATTGAAAAAATTATAGATGCCCATGATAACAGTATCAGCCACAAATGGCTATAAAGATCCTATTCCACTTCCACAGAGTTAGTCATTCTGAACAGTTTTTAATGTATCCTTCAAGAAATACATGCACCCTGACCAGGGACTGACTGAACTGGCAACCCAGGCGTGTGTTGTAACTAGGAATTAAACCCCTGAACTTTTGGTTTGTGGGACGATGCTCAACCAACAGAACCACACCTGCCAGGGTTGCCGGACAGGTATTTACACTGGAATCCTGAAAAGGCCTGTGGTAATCTAAAAGGGGTCTTTCTCTGAGTGGAAACTCGGCCTGAGGTGGAGAGAATTGTTTTGTTCAAAACTGGGTTTAAAGTCGGATAAATGAGGCAGAGATGACAAGTGTTAAAAGTTAATGAGGATAACAAACTGGTGTTTATTTGGTTAAACCATTATTTTGTTCCTCACAAAAATATAATGCTTTCATACTGTCCTGTCCCACTGTTTCAGTAATGTATTTGTACATTTTATATCTACTTAGTGTCCACAGTAACTGGGGTAGACAGTACTATTCCCATTTTATAGAGGAAGCGAAAGATTTTACTGAAAGTGTTGGAGACCTAGAAGTCAGTTCAGATCCTCTGATTCTTTTGTTTTCATTTCAGTTGGGAAATATACCTACCCTCTCCCCGCATAAAAATTACCACTTATATTAAGCCAAGGAAAGAATATGGAAACATCATGAATTACTAGCATTATAGTGGGCTTCCACAAAGTTCTGTATTTGTTAAGAAAGGAAGAGGGGAGGGTGTTGGGGTAGGAAGTAAAGACCCATGCTAATCTTTTTGAAATCTGTCACAAAACTGAGGCAGTTTGAAAGGTACCAATGTACTTTGTGGCAGTGCACCCTCTTCAGAAGTGAAACACTTAAAATAATCAGCTATTTGAGTTCCGAATTCCCAAAGTTGAAGATGGTAAATGAATCAAATTGTGTAGCTCAAGGCTGTCAGTTTGTCTTCCCATTCTTATACAGACTCCCTCTTCACTTTTTCCTTGTTTGTTTCCTGTTACAACACAAAGTTCTTTATCTAGAAATGGACTGATGCACCCTCGTGGGTTTTATTTTTCTGAGCTACAGCTTTTCTCCAGTTCTACTATTAATTACATTATGAACAGATACCAGACTACCAGGAAAAAGCCCTGGCACTAAAGTATGGAGATATCTCACCATTCAGCTGCCTTGCTTGGCAGTTGTAGGAGCTACTTTACTTTGAGGGTAAGGGGGACACATTTGCCTGCAACTTGAATGAAGGAAGTTGTGCTGTGAAAATAGATTGAGGTTGAAGCTCCTATTTTCTTGTTTTTCACCGTGATGCTGGGGTTGTGCACAGGCATGGGACTTACATAAATTGTGTACTTTCTGTTGGAAGTTGGTAAAAAGAAGATAAAAGTTATTTTTGAGTGTTTTCTCTGTATTTTAATAATCTCAGATTTTTCCTTTCTCTCTGTCCTTTACAGTTTGCCCAAGAAACTAGACTGCATAAAAACATCTATTTGCAACTGCCTTCTTCGTGGCTCAGGTAGCAAAACTTCAAAGCATCATCTGAGACTAAGAAGATCACAGAATAAATTTTCACTGAGACAGAGAAAACCACAGAGAAAGCTGCAGTCGACTCTTCTGAAGGAAATTCAGCAGTCCGCCCAACGGACTCAGCCTTTTACAGTTACCAGCAGACAGAGACTCTCACACTGTACAGGTCATAGAACTGATCTGAACCCTAACAGTAAGCAACCCTTGAGCAGCACAGTTTCCAACCCCGTCTTACAAACTAAGGAGAAACAAAATCGTGAAAATCTAACAGGGAGGAATGAAAATGAAACTGACTCATGGACAGTGATGCAAATAAATAAAGATACATCAGGAATCAGTAAGGAGACAGATGATATTGATGATATTTTTGCTTTAATGGGAGTGTAGATGCTAAGTGAGATCTTTAAGTGATTAGCAGACTAGTTCAGTTTTCAGCTATTTTAAGTGAAACTCCTGAGATCTGCAAAGATCTGAAAGCACCACATGGACTCAGAGAAGAGCTGATTTAGTGCAGCATTATAAAGCAGATCATTTCGGTTCAATAAACATTTTTAGTAGCTTTGTGTCATTTAAATAATTTACTACTAAACAGTCAAATCTGACTTTGACTAAATGCTGTTAAGAAAAATCGACCATATCCTGCCTTGAAAAGCAGATGTAATTCCTTACCTTCATGAAGCTGGTAGGTTTCAGAAAAACTGAATAATTTTATGCCTTACCAGGGAATTAAGATCCAAATAATTAGGTTTGCAAAAACCTACCCTGTGCCTTAAGATAAATAGGGAGTGGAAGTGGGGAGTAGCAAGGAAGCACCTAAAAGGCCACTCTGACCTTACTGGCTGGGTTATAGGCAAGTCCACTTCTGGACAACAAGGTCTGTAGCTTCTAATGGTGGTGCTGTCTTGTTGATGTATTAGAATTGGTCATCAAAGGAACTCAAAAGTTTTGCCACTAGTTGTATTACCAGGGACTGGTCACAACCATTATTTCACTATTTATTCACCTTAATTCATAGAACAGCATATTAATATGCTTTTGGAAATTTCCGAAAGTTTGTGGGATATTTTGGTTTATTTATAGGGTATGAGTAACTGATTCCAAAAAGGATATAATGTGACTCATGGTTACACATACAATACAATAGGATAACAAAGTAGAAGTGGGTAGAAAGTTAAATGAAAAAATAAAACTAGGAAACACAAAATAGACCCAGGAATGAGGCTAAACATAAATTTATAATTTGGGACTGATGCTGTCATTTGATATTTGTAAGTTGCTTGTTCAAGTGTTCTGAGAGGTGAATCTTAGATATTTTCAAATAATGATGTGAAGTTTGAAATAATTTTTCAAATGTTCTAGCTTACTAGAAAGGCTGATAAGCTTCTCTGTTAAGTAGGTTGTAGCCTTAAGTTTTCTTTATATACAGACATAAAAAATACAACAATGCATTGATATGTACTGCATCCTTCTTTTTCTCAGCCATCCTATCATTTTCTTCTGTTTTCTTTCCCTCCTTTATCTGGCCTGTTCTTTCCCTGTTTTCTGCATACTTCCCCCTTTATCTATACCAGTGGCTCTCAAACTTTAGACTGAGAATCACCATGTGGGCTGTAGATGGCAGACTCCCAGTCCCTTCTGAAGAGATAAAAACACAGCCAGGGAATGGAGCCAGAAGTCTGCAATTTTAATTGAGTAAAAAGTGCCCAGGTGATTTTGACATACAAGAAGTAGCCCAAAATGTAGTTGGATAAACACTGGTTTAGCTCCCTTTTCCCAAGATGGAACACCCTGATTTGAGTTCTTAACCTTGAATGACTTTTCATTGTTTATATTTCTGCTTGCTTCCTACCAATGGTTTGGTAGGAAGTTTCCTGGCTTTTGACAAGCTGCAGAAACTGGTTGACTCCTGGGCACATATGACTTGGAATGGTAGTAGCTACTAAGTGCCTTCAGACATGGGCAATACCAAGGAGATGGTCAGCTTCTAAGAATCTTAAGACTTAAGGTCCAGTCTTGATTCTGCTTTTATTTGCACGTGACTCCACTGAGCTAGTGTTTCCCAGGACTTAGATTCCTTCATCTGAAGTGGCCAAAAATCAGACTTTTACAATTTGAAATGATCCCTCATTGGAAAAACCAGAGTGGTTTAGTGAGTTGTCTAGGGAGGGAAAACTATAAAGCCCTGACTGGACTAAAGACTAGCATTTTTGTGTGTTTCATTAATGTTCCCCTGGAGTAAGTCTTTTCATCTCCTTTTCTCATCTTGTGTCCCTTACAATTCTGGGAAAAATGGTAAAAAGCTTCATATGATGTGTCTACAAAATGGTAATTTATATGTATTTGTAAGGAATGTAGTATTCTATATCAGTTAGTTTTCCAAGCAATTTAAATGCAAATGTTTTAAATTTTTAAAAGGGTAAAATAAACAAAACCATAACTTACCTAGTAAGTTAGATCAGAAGTTAGTGTCATCATAGTGAATACCAACTTAATCACATCTGCGGGCATTAGAACACTTAATTCATTCATAAGAGAAAGGTGGTGAGACTTTCCAGGTGTCCTGAAATCCTTGACCTTCCTACTTCAACTGCTGCCATGGCAACCTATTTGGAATAGGACTGGCAAGTACCTTGCCTCCTGCTCCAGGGACCTCTCACTTCCTGCCTCCTGGCTTTTGACAAGCTGCAGAAACTGGTTGACTCCTGGGCACATATGACTTGGAAGAGGTGTGGGGTCACCCTTTCTCCCTTCAAAGACAATTCAGACGCACATTTCATAAGCTGCTCAAAAGGTCATTCAAGATCAAGTACTTGTGCTTATGTGGTATCCAACTCAGTGCATCCTTGATGAGCTTTCCTGCCTGCTGTTTCATTTCTCCATCATCCCTGTTCCGTGGGATCACATCCTAAATAAACTACTGCATGCAAGTCTCGGGCTATGCTTTTAGGAGAACCAAGGCTAGGACAAGGGGTAAAGTAACACAGGCAAACAGAAAGATGACTTATAAGAAAGGTAATTCTATTGTTACCATATATTTTACTTTGCAAATGACCACATAAAGTTTTTTTTTTAAGCTTAAAATGCTGCTGGTCAGAACAGACCAGTGCTATCAACTATATTCAAACAGAATTTTCTAAAAAAGCTACAATATTGTTTTATTTCTTAATTTCTTTTATTCAGAGCTGTTGCTACAACCTTGTAATATTCAGCCTCACTTTGAAAAGCTAAGCCACTTACATGAAAAGGCAGTAGCATCTTCATAAAAATCTTTTCCATTAACTTTAGTTCAAAGTAAGGCTTTATCTTTCCATTGTGAATCTTAATGTACTGATTCTAAACAGTGCCATCAACTTTGTTCTCACGCTTTGCAAATCAGTTTTCTCAGGACTGTTCTTTTTGTTTTTTTGTCTTTCACTAGAGAAAATATTGCTTTCTCCACGATAAGATATTTTCTGTGATAAATCTACCTTTGCATTTAGCTGCATTCTTGGATTGATTTCCCTTTATAAATATGCAGAATATGAAGACGTCCTTTTCGCATACACCACTTTCATCATCTTCACAGCTTGTGAGGTTAGAGTTACAAATGGAGCTCAAGAAATCAAGGTCCAACATATAAAAAAATAATAGAACTGGAACTTAAAATCTGGTCTTCTGATTCTAAATCCCATGTTGAGCCTCAGGTGACTGACCCCAGACTGAAGTTATTGGTATTTCCAGCATGCACTGACTAAAATTTTATCAAGAATAATTTAAAAAATTCAAATAAGGATTCAGAAAAAAGATAAATTATAGGCATACAAATAGGAGCATTTATCTTCAACTTACCTATCAGTCCTTAACAGAAAGGTAACTCCTTTTTGAACTATTCCATTTTAATATTTAAAATTACACATAATAGACATTTTCTTTAAAAAGACAGAGCCCAATAAGTAACATGAAAACCCTTCTCTACACAGTAGTAAACAGGTTTTCACCTTATGGACTTTTATATACTGCTCTTGAGTTTGTTAAAATAAAAACTGCTAGCATCTGTTCAAATGAAGGCATAATTCAATCATTTATAAACCACCCCCCACTGCCAGGCACAGAATTCATTCTTGCTTTGGGAAGAGGTAGGTTTAAAGCTGAACTGATTCTCCGCAGATTATAGGCATGCAACATTTAAAACAATGCTGAAATTCTAGGTGTTTAGCTCCAGTTGGCATAAAAATTTTTGAGTCTTCTGCTAAACTAGACACCATTACGTCTTAAGATGTCCTGTTATGTTTGCTATAAAGCATCTCAACAGATGGATTCCAGAATAGGTCACAGCACTGTGAAAAGAAAAGAAAAATAATTTTCTTCCGTACTTCAGAGGCACTGACAGACCTGAATTCACCTAATTAAAAACCAATTGTGTACAAGGGGGAAGTAAAGGGGTGGAGGGATTTAGCAAAAAGAGAAAAAGACTCATGGACACGGATGGACAACAGTGTGGTGACTGCAGGGGGAGGGAATATAAGGGGACCTAATGGTAATGAAAAAAATAAAGATTATATACTAAAAAAATAAACTGTTTGAGCTGTGAGTTCCATGTACGAAACAACATCTTAATTTGCCCTGCCTTTCCTCTCTTCTCTCAGCCACTTGTGGTATTCTAAACTGGGTCTACACTACCTGCTCTATTTCCTTCTTGATTCCAAAAATCTCACCATATTACTATTTTTTTTGCCAGTTGAAAAGTTTTTTTAACTTTCTTATGGAGGAATAATTGACATATGACATACTAGTTTCAGGTATACAACACAATGAGTGTGTGTTTGTATATACTGCAAAATGATCACAAAAGTCTAGTTAACATCCAACACTATACGAAGTCAGTCACAATTTTTCTTGTGATGAGGATTTTTTAAGATCTGTTCTCTTAGTAATTTTCAAATATGCAATATAGTATTATTAACTATAGCATTGCTGATTCCCTTGATATAAGGTACAGCATTTTGGACTTTTTGACCAAACCTGTCTGCTTGAGAATAGCCCATAATGATTCTTGGATCATAAATGAAGTTATACATATGTAGTTTAAAGGAGAGATATGGGTTAGATAGGGTTCGATAGTCTACACACAAACGATGACACCGTGAACTCATCTGCAACATTTCTGTCAACTTCATAATAATTTTCTTTGTCTTCATGATCAGTTCTCATTTGCTTGGAAATTTTCACTACACAGAAAACCACAGAAGCAACTATACTCTGCCTACTTACATATTTATTCCATACAGTTTATAACAACAGACTGATCCCAGCATCAATCTTTAGAAGCCTTTTGCCATTTATACTTCTCCAGCTTGGGTAGAGTTCAGACATGAGGGTTAGCACTTAACTTTTGCCTATAGGCTGAGAGGCCAACTTCTCTGGACTACATATCTACTCACATTTCCACCTTTGTCCTATCAGGATCATACAGGAAGATAAGGAAATAAAATCTAACTTTATAATAATTACTCTGTGACTAGGCCAAACTCCATCTGGAGGAATGGATTGGGGTTTGATGATGCTAGTAAAAGCAAGGACTACATGTAACTCTATTTTCTGAATTGAATTTTGAAAACTATACAGTACAGCCTGCTGATTTCCTGTATGTGGTCACTGTGGTGGAGTGAACACTGGTGTTCTTGAAAGTCAGCAGGCTCCCGTGTCTCGGTTCTTAGCCTTTAAGTGCTGTGTGGCTTCCACAGTGCCATGGTCACTTAAGGTGAGTAGTCCGTAACAGCAATCTTCCCAGGGTTAAGCAGCAGAGAATGCTGGCATATTTAAAGAAGGGAATGCCTCTAAAATGTACTAGGAACCTGATATTCTGAATTGTTGGCCTGACCCTGCCATTTACTGACTGACCTTTGTCAAGGACGGAAACTAACATCTACTATAGTGTGGGTACATCAGTCACAATACATTTTATTTAATCCTTCTAACAATCACATTTTTACTAGTGAGAAAAGACTCAGAAAATGAAGTAAGGTGCTTTAAAAACTGTAAGGAGTAGAGGAACTATGCAAAACCATGGCCTGACTCTATGGCTCAAGCTCTTTCTGTCACAGCCAACACCTCTCTGAACTCACTTCTCTGACTTGTGACCATGAAATAGGGATGTTTACTGGGAGAATCAGTTACGTGCCTTGAATGATCCAGTGACATAACCTCCCCCAAGACCACCGGACAGCTCTACTGCTTTTAATGTCGAGCCACGACCTTCACTTGATTAGTCTGGTGGCACAGAGCTCACAGCAGGCTGTGACCGCTGCTTGATTATTCCCTTGTTTTAAACTCTAATTCCATTCATTGTAGCTGAAGAAAACATTGTCAGTTTTCCCCTCGCCCTATTATACTGTTAATTCAAACTAAGTTTCCAGTCAACTAAAACTTACTTTTTTTCAATAAATGCTGCTATTAAGGCATAATTTGCACATCTTATATTTGATTGCCTTTTAGCTGAAGTATCACTTCTTTATTATTAAATAGTTAAAAGAAACATCTATTTTTCTACGACAATGCTCAGGGCTCTAAGAAGAATTAGGATTTCGTTCCTGCCCCCAGGAGGTTCTTGTATACATGGGACACAGATAAATGAACAGGATACACGCTCTATCTTGAAAAGTAGTAAAAGGAGAAGAGCATTTTGTAGGAATGATGAAGAGGGATTTTGACAGGCATGTTCGTAATTACAAACAATTTAAATGTGATTTGCATTGATAGGATGTAGAATGAGCAGTTTCATATTTAACTGTTACTTGGCTTCATTATTTTTCATAGCAACTCCCATAGTGCCTTTTGCAAAGAAGTTCGAATAAGAATATCATAGGGGAGTGACACTCTATTCTCTGCAACAATACAGGTACTTACTGTGTCCAAGGTATACACTGAAAGTAAAAACTCATGCTTCATTGCTAAACCACATCTAATATCTGAAAAACTGCCAGCTCAGGAAATAACCATTCCATCTGCCGCCAATGCTTAATTCTAATTTTTATGAAGTACTTCTTCTTTACATGTGGTCCTTTTAAAGGAACATTTTTATCCCTCACAGCCTGAATGAGTTTTCGACCATAAAGATAAACTGTTTTTCTGTGAAGCCGAGAAAGGGATGGTAGTACCTTTATTGTGGTTGTTATTTAGCTGATTCTAAAAAAAAAGTTTTCACTTCTGCTGTGGTGCAGGGTTGAGCTAGGCTAAGGAGGAAAGAGAATGAAGGTACAGCAAAATCTGCAGAAGGAGACAAGGATGGAGGGAAGAGAAAAATAAAAGTGCTCATGGGCTGTACCAATAAGTCATAACTAAGTGCACAGTCTTCCAAATTTCCCTCATTTAAGTGATACCTCAGTTTCACAAATACTGATTTGCACTTGATCTTAGCCAAAAGGCCAAGAAGTGATAAGAAATACTGATATAATGATGAAGGCTGTTAGTACACGAAGCTACTGAAAACAATTCAACTCTTACCTTACAGGAAACAACTGAGGAAAACACCCTTGTGTGCTAGTGTTCACGAATTTCTGGATCTGAAGCACTTGCTTTAGAAGATGGCCCATGGAAGATTTGTCAATTTTTGTCAATACCATCTGCAAGAAAACAAATATTTAAGCATTAGAAATAAAGTATTTTTAATATACAGTTTTCCACATTTCAGCTACAAATTCTCAATAACTAGGTGACCTGTTCAAGTTTCTTAATCTCTTTGTACTTGTTTCCTCATCTATAAAATAAAAGCCATGTATGCTAAATGCGTTACTGTGAAGACTGAGTTATTGTACAGTCCTGTTGTGTACAATGTATAAAGCACGCGCTATGTGTTTGCTGTTTAACGGTGCTTGAACTACATAGGACTATAGTACCTTGAAGTCAAAACCAGCAAAAAGGACCCTGGAGCCATATTTGCAACTACCATAAACCAAATGTTTCATAAGATCACTATATGTCTCGTGGTTGAAGATACTCAATATGCAAGTGAGTATCATTAGGCTGATTCATATAAAACTGCCAACTTATAATTATTTTTGATCTACAAAATGGTTCTATCTTACATGTAATAATCTAAAGGACAAATGAGAAATCGGGCTGTTTTGTAGGTTACATCCAGTATTGCAAGTTGTACATAGTTATACTCCAAGTTAAGCCTCAAATTTTCTAGGCTTACTAGTAAATAATTACTTTGAATAAATTTACCTATGCAAAGACAATTATAGAGGAGGGTCAAGGCATGGCTTGATTACAAAATCCATTACAAAGTGAAACCTTGATCTATCAGGTTTTCCTGGGAATTTCTACAAAATGAAACTTCCTGACTCATTGCATTTGTACTGCATAGACTATGTTTATCAAACCTTTGGCTCCTCATAACTAAGTTATCACTAATGCCTCATGGGGCTTTGCAAACCCCAAGAACTCCATATCTCTAAGAACACAAAAAAGGTGCTAACTAGTAATGTGGTTTGATTTGCATTAAACTCCACTGCTACATTTTAGTGGTTTTCTGACATTCTGAAAAACAAAATTATAGTCAATGAGTTCTCCACTTTTCCTTAAGAGTGCTATTTTATTTGGAAAACTCAAAAGGTGAAATAAATGTGGATACCAACCTACTAATCTATATTCTATTCCAGAGCAAATAACAGAAAGAACACTGATAAAATATATCCAGAAGAAATTTTGTTTGAAGTATACAGTATAAAAATCCTACTTGTATGTGCTAGAACCTACTATCTTCTCATAATGGTTCTGAAATTCCAAATTAGCTTAGTAAATTTTCAGTTGCAGTTTTATTTACATACTTACAAGTACTCTCTGACAAGCTACTGTTAAAGAGCTATTAACTCATTTTAGACCAATGTTTATATTGCCATTAAAAATCATAAAGAAAAGCACCTATAAACACCAAATAAACAGCTTTAAAAACTTTACTTTGACTATAATTTTGAAAACTTAGATCTGAGAGAAAAGTATTATTTTTTAATAAGAGTAGCACAGACTTATTTTATTAATGGCCAAACAATTGAAAAGGTATTCTTTTATCTCTTCCAGAGGCAAGACCTACTTATTCACTAAAAAGACAGACACACACACTCAGAGAACTGGTATTTCTAACTGCAACCATAATTGAAAAGAAATACTTACCACATAAGGTAACGCAAGCTCTTCACACATTTCTATGGCAATACTGTCTGCTTTTTGAATTCCGACAACACTATCCACTAACAAAAATGTTCTCATCAAACTACAAGAATGCAGAAATAAAGATGAAAGGCAATATGAAATTCATTTATTTCTCCCTGACACTCACAATACTAATAAATTTTCCTTTGACTAATTTTCAATCCACACTTTAAAAATTTCTTTAGGCAAAAGGAACTCTCGATTCACCAGGAAGTCTATCCTACAGTGTAATAGTTAATGAACTAAGTTCACTAAGTATCAATTTATTTCAGTAGCATGTGTTGAACATGACAATGTACTTGGGACTGGTTATAAAGGTGAGTGAGCCCCTTCCTCTAAGAGCTTGAACTCTAGTGAGAGAAAGAGAGATGAACCCAATTAACTATATTATCATTAAAATACCAATTAACGAATATTTTAAGTCTAACAGATAACACAAACCAGACACACTATATTTTGTATTTTCTTGTATAAATATTTCATCTTGGTTTCTATATAAAGCCAGAGTAAAAAAGATACTTGTTAACACTTTTTATACTTCAAAAATTTAACAAATTTTTCTGTATCTGTGCAAAGCTTGAAACATACAGCTACCATCTAACTACCTAAGGAGACAAAAAAAAATGTAACATTTACAGAGGATGTGATGTCAGAAGTACTTTAAGAATGATTAGAATTTACAGACGTGTATTTGAATTTGGTAAATGCCACATTAACCAAGAGTTCTCATTTTCAAAGTTAGCCATCTAACCGTCTGGTATAAAAAACTCAGTAAACTCTGCTGAAGTACTATTTATAGTCTCAATTTAGAAAAACACTTGAATTTAAGATAAAGCCAATCTATAGGGAAAAGCAAAGCAAGCAGAATATACCACAGTTCTAAATACTGTGTTGTAAAACATTATGAGAATAATAAAAATATGCTTTTGGGTTAAATGTGTAACTAGTATAAAAATTTTTTTCCTTACTTCTTTCGTTCCTTTAGATAGGGCTCTACCATATCGACAAAATCCTCGGGTGCTCTATAGCCATAACCTGGCATGTCCACCAACGTGAAATATTTTCCAACTTTAAAAAAATTCATTTTCTTTGTGTGACCCTGATAAATGGAAAAATGAAAGCCTCCTTAAAATATGTCCTTTACATTTCATAACTCAAAATATGTTCTACTTAGTCACATTTATTAACACGTGTAAGTATTTTGTATATAATCCCAGTCACGCTGACAGTGAGGAGGAAGTGACGACAGCAGTGGCTGGAGACAGGCTTCAGGGATTCGACTTCTCTCCAACTCATAGTTTTAAGAGAAGAATGACTTAAGAACTTTAGATTCCGTATTAAAAATATGTAGGCAAAATATTTTGGAGTCTCTCCTCTTTCATTAGCTCGCTCTCTCAGTGAAAAAGTATCCTGTTCTAAGTGGTGTGACTGTTCTAGTTAATATTCTCTTCATATTTCTAAGAAGAAATGAATTATGGTGCTGGTAAGTTAAATTAAATGCTTACTGTTAGTCAGAGTCATACGACCTAGGTGCAAAGCCTGATAGTTCACTATGCCCAGATTATTGCACCCCTACAATGAACATGGGTTTTGAATGTTTCAGTAGATGGCTTTCAAAACCATTTTTAAAAAGTATGTAAAACATTATAAAATATCTGTGCAAGCAAAATTGATGTACAGATGGTAAGTGGTTTGTTCATGATTTTGTATCTATGGACATTAATCAGGCAAGGAAAGATTAAGATAAATAATTTAAAAAGTCAGCTGTTTAGAACTTGGAACAAGTATTTTCAGAGGAAAGATTTTATAGATGGTGCTTAGGTTCCCAGTCAGCTCTGTGTCTATCTATAGGAAAATGATTTTGGAAGTAGGAATGTCAAAAATACATTCCTTGCATCCTCCTCTCAAAGCAGGAAGGGAACCACTCTACGTAGGAGTGAGAGTTTAGCTGGATTTGGTGAGGCAGGGCAGGGGTAGGGGAGGGAGGATTAACGAACAACAACAATCATTAGTGACAGAGCCAGGGAATCAACTAAATGAAGAAGCGGACAGCAAGAAAGGACTAGTGAAGCCTCCTGGGAGAATTCCAATGCAAGGAAAAGGGACAGTGTGCATTGGGTTGGTGGGGATGTTTTGCCATGAATATGTAATAGGGTGAGGGGAACTGTGGGCAAGTTTTGAAGAGAAGGAATCTTAGATATTGGTGGAGTCTGCATCATTGAGGAGGAAGTAGAGAAAATTAGAAAATGACAGAAAGCTACTACAAGAGACTGCCTGAGATAATAAGCACAAAATTTGGCCCAGGTAAACTGGTACATATGTATCAGTTAGCAAGGTATAAAAGATTATAGGAGAAAAAAACACTTTAAAGCTGTTTCCCCTGAAATCAATGTAAAACTAAGATCATTTGCAGAAACAATTATAGAATAACAATAGAACATCTCTGGAAAAAATTTAGACCAAGGAAGATTTCCTCAAGATACTGGTAAGACTACTAAAATAAATCTAGACATATCTTCCCTTTCTTCAAAGAAATACACAGGCACTAATGAAATGTCTTCCTTTACTACTTTGAAAGAAATCACTTTTCTAGGAAGTTGGCAATTATGATTTCTTGTACTTCCCAGCACTTATTATTCCTCTTAGTCAATTCAGAGATAGTTCACATTTTTTATCTCAACATACCGGTTTTTTGGAGATCCTGACTTCAACCTCTGGAGCCAGTGAAAATAAAGCCTTTATTAGAGAGGATTTTCCAACATTGCTTCTGCCTATGAAACACACCTTATAAAAGAAAAGAGAAGGGGGACTGGGTGAATAAAGTGAAGGGATTAAGCAAAACCAAAAAGGCCAACAAGGTCACAGACACAGACAACAGAATGGTGATTACGAGCGGGAAAGGGGGAGGGGGGAGTTAGAAGAGGGTAAAGGGATGAACGGTGATGGAAAGACATGACTTTAGGTGGTGAACGCACAACACAACATACAGATGATGTGTTACAGAACTGTACACACCTAAAACCTATACAATTTTATTAACCAATGTCACCCCAATAAATTCAATAAAAATTAAAAAGAAAAAAGGTAATTGAGTACTAGCTTATTTATTTGTTTGTTTGTTTATTTAATGATATATTAGCTGCAAAAACCTGTCAAACTATTTGGTCTTGCCCAGCCATGGAAAGTGACTTGGGCTTAGTCAAACCTCAAACCCTAACATGTAGCTACTACCTTCTGAATCACTTCAATGTGCCAGGTGCTATTCTAACCATTTAACATACATTTTTCTATTTACTTTTTACAACATCCCTATGAGATAGGCAATATTATTATCCCCATTTTACAGATGATAAAACAAGGTAGAAAGAGGTTAAATAACAGAAAGTGAAGGAGTTAAAATCAGAACTCAAGACATCTATATTCAGAATCTGTGCTTTTTAATGACACTGTGCTGCTTATGAATATCTGCAACATTTACTAAACATTCTATATTTACACTTGCTTTTTGAAGTTAGACCCACATTTCCCCACAAACTTGCAGAGTACACTGTAAGGGGTTATTCCTTTTTTTCTTGGGCTCTCATCTTCCAGTTGAACTTTTCTCCTTTAGTCCTCTATTATAGTGGTGATTTTTAAACTTTTGCATCTCATGGCACACATAAACTAATTGCTAAAATTCTGTGGCACACCAAAAAAAATTTTTTTTGCTGATCTGACATAAAAATAGGTATAATTCATTTACACCAGATGTCCCTTGTTGTGTTGCTATTGTAATTTTTTCTTTGATAATATAAGGGAAGAGAGGTCAGTGTTCCTAACTAAAAAGTCAGGTATTGCATGTTTTAAAATTCTTGTAGCACACCAGTGTGCATCTTGTGGTTACAGTCGTTGAAAGTTGCTGTTCTAGTGACGTCTGGCCAAGATGGAGGTGTGGGTAGACATGCTGTGCCTCCTCACACAACCAAAAGGATACCAACAATTTAAAAAAAAACCACCAGAACTGACAGAAAATCAAACTGCGTGGAAGTCCAACAACCAAGGAATTAAAGGAGACACTTTCATCCAGACCGGTAGGAGGGGCAGAGACAGGCAGATAGGACTCTCTGCAAGGCAGCAGCTGGTGGAGCGGGTGGTCCCACATTCCCATGCAGATAACACCAGGTGAAACAAAATGGGGAGCAGGAATTCCCAGCTTCACAGAAAAGTTCGTGGGAGAGACTCACAAGGTCCTAGAAAGTACATAAACCCCCCAAATGGGACCCAGCACCAGAAGGGCCCAGTTTGCTTTTGGGAGGAAGTGACTGATATCTAGCAGAGCGTAGCAAGCGCCCCTGATCCCTCTTGGACCCCTCCCCCACATACAGCATCATAACCCAGCTACGTGGGTTGCCCTGCCCTGGTGAACACCTAAGTCTCCTCCCCTCACTATGTAATAGGCACATTAAGACAAAAAAAAAATGGCCCAAACGAAAGAACAGATCAAAGCTCCAGAAAAAATACAACTAAGTTATGAAGAAATAGCTAACCTATCAGATGCACAGTTCAAAACACTAGCAATCAGGATGCTCACAGAAATGGTTCAATAAGGTCGCAAATAAGATGAAAAAATGAAGGCTACACTAAGTGAAATAAAGGAAAATGTACAGGGAACCAATAGTGATGGGAAGGAAACTGGAACTCAAATCAGTGGAGTGGACCAGAAGGAAGAAAGAAACATCCAATCAGAAAAGAATGAAGAAACAAGAATTCAAAAAAATGAGGAGAGCCTTAGGAATCTCCAGGACATCTTTAAACATTCGAACATCCAAATTATACGGGTACCAGAAGGAAAAGAGCAACAAGTGGGAAAGTTATTTGAACAAATAATAAAGGAGAACTTCCCTAGTCTGGCAAACGAAATAGACTTCCAGGAAGCTCAGGAAGCTCAGGGAGTCCCAAAGAAGTTAGATCCAAGGAGGAAATACACCAAGGCACATCATAATTATATTACCCATAATTAAAATGAAGGAGAGAATTCTGGAAGCAGCAAGAAAGCAGCAAGGGGACAGTAACCTACAAAGGAGTTCCCATAAGACTGTCAGCTGATTTCTCAAGAGAGACCTTACAGGCAAGAAAGGGCTGGAAAGAAGTATTCCAAGTCAAGAAAGGCAAGGACCTACCCCCAGGATTGCTCTATCCAGCAAAGCTTTCATTTAGAATGGAAGAGCAGATAAAGTGCTTCTAAGATAAAGTCAAGTCAAAGGAGTTCATCATCACCAAGCCCTTATTATATAAAATGTTAAAGGGATTTATTAAGAAAAAGAAGATAAAAAATGTGAACAGGAAAATGACAGCAAACTTACAATTATTTGCAACCATACCTAAAACAAAAAACTAAGCAAACAACTAGAACAGAAAGAGAACCACAGAAATGGAGATCACATGGAGGGTTATTAACAGGGGAGTGGGAGGGGAAGAGAGGGGGAAAGGGTACAGAGAATAAGTAGCATAGACAATAGGTAGAAAATAGGGGGAGGTTAAGAATAGTATGGTAAAAGTAGAAGCCAAAGAACTTACATGTATGACACATGGACATGAACTAAAGGGGGGGAGTGTGGGTGGGAGGGGGTGTGCAGGGTGGAGGGGAATGAAAGGGGGAAAATGGGACAATCGTAATAGCATAATCAATAAAATATATTTAAAAATTGCTGTTCTACAGTATAGAAAGCAACAAAATATTCTTTATAATAATTGCCAATATATATGGCTCTGCTTTTTAACATGGTATTGGAGGTGGTACAATACCAATCGGTGGTTGTAAATGAGGGCAGTACTGCTCCCTGAGGTGTGTTTTGGAAACCTGTAAAGAAATCTGTAAGGAAATGCTATCTGTAATGATCAGGTAGCATTTAGTAGACAGGGGCCAAGGATGCTATATATTGTGCAAAACTGGGGTCAGTCCTTCAGAATGAACTGATCTGAAGTCTGCATAAATTTCAAATGCTCTGCCAGATTAAATCCAATGATAACCTATAGATAATAAAACTGAATTTTAAAAAACAAATTACACAAAATGTCCAGTAATTTAAAAGCTTAAATCAAAAAGTGATGCTACGTCACAATCAATAAATGATATATATATATATATGTTTTTGAATTCTGGCAATTCTAAATATAGTAGAAGAAAATTTTAAGTGCAGTGGAACAGTTATTACAAATACAGCACATCCTTGAATAACATCCTTTTGTTCAACATTGTTTTGTTATAACATGGATGAGGGGGAAAAATCAATTCATGGCCAGGACCACTGTCTGCGTGAAGTTTTCATGTTTTCCCCATGTGTGGGTTTTCTCCAGGTAGTTCCACATCCCAAAGCTGTGCACGGTTAGGTGGACCTGTGAGTCTACACGGTCCCACTCTGAGTGAGTGCAGGTGTGTGCCAGTGGGCCCTGCATGGCTCCTGTGAAGGGCTGGTTCCTGCCTTCTGCTCTGAGCTGCCAGGAGAGCTCAATAAGTGGATTGGAAAATAATTACCTTGTTTGTTTTTATTCATCTTAAATATAAGTATAGTTCACATTCATTTCAATGTTTAATATTATAAATTTTGGGGGGTCTTTATATGTTATGCGATGTTTTTGGGACCAAGAAATATGCCATAGGAACTTAACTAGTTGGTATCAACGAATTTTACCCAATTAGCTTTGGGTAAAACTGATTTTGGTTATGTTATATATTCCTTTCAGTCTCAGTTTCCAAGAAACTATCATATGTGAGAACTTATTGTATGTAAAGAGCTGAGGTTTCTTTTACCAGTCTTAGAACAAAATATGAGTAAACTGCAGTACATACATAAAATGTACAATCATGGAATGTCACTAAAGTTGTTTTTAAAAATCTACATTACTGCCATCTATATATCATTTTTTTACACAACAGGAAGTTCAGATACGGTGAAAATTACAAATCGGTAAAGATCACATCGTTTGTGAAAATCATACTTTTCACATTCTTCACTTTGTTTTCCCTACTTCAATTAAATAGGAAAAAATTAAAAGCATAATATCTTGAATACTTAGTTTAGGTTTTTAAACCTTGTAACGTCTTCTACATTCATTACCAAAATACTTAAAACTGGGCTAGCCAGCAGTTGCGCTCACACCTCAGGGCGGGGAAGGTCTGGGGCGTGGTCCAGACGCACAGCGGAACTGAGGTACTCGATGCGGTTCCCGGCTGTGGCGGTGAAGAATTTATCTGCCTTCGCGATTTGTTCCAGGCTCGGGTCGAAGGTCTTCAGGTGAAGGTCAGACGTGGAGTCGGAGAGGAGGTGCCGCTGGAGTTCCTGTAATGGGAACACAAACTTCGTCAGCTGCCGTTTTGGCAGCTGTAGAACCTCCGTGAAGGCCTGGGGCTTGCTGTAAGCTCGGCTCACGTGCACCAACGTAGCGGGCATCTCAAACAGCCTGCCCAGGCTAGGCAGCACCACGGACACTGCCATTTTTCTCTCCCAGAAGCTGCTGCAGGACCCAATTCCCCGCCTCTGGGTCGGGTCGCGCGTGCGTGGTCCCGCTCCCTCTAAGCCTACTGGGAATTGTAGTCTCATTTGCTCTCCTGTTCCCGCCCTAAGGTTCTCCCTTCTAGTGAGCCAGAGGCATGGGGGTGGGGACGTGGGGGACCGGATAGGGGGCCCGCTGCTACGTTCCTTCCACACTCAGCCCTTGATGACCACTTTTGAGTTTGTTGCTGTGGGGAGGCTCTTGACTGATTTGCGGACGTCAAAAGGCATACCTGCCTATGTGGCCTCTAAATCTCAGGGGAAGGAGAAAATGTGAGGCTCGGATGGATTTCAGGCCCTTATACTCAACAGTTTATGGTTGTCTCACAGATCTTTGACGTACACATCACTAGGAAAACATTCCAGAAAAAAGCTGGTGAGCTATGTGGTCGAAGTGGCAATTGGTTTACAGAAAAGGGAGAGTTTATAGAAATGCTTTCTCTGTCGCTTCAGGAAATGTCATTGAATTTTAGAGATTTCTTACACAATAGAAGCAAAAACAGTTTTGCACAGGTGTTCCAGAGTTATTTCATGGAAGTTATGTAAGGACATCTTATTTCAAAAGTTTATTCTCAAAGCAATTCTTCAAACTCATCAGCGCTGGAATGAGAGATACAGGTATTATGATGAAATAAATAACTAAAAGATATTCCTGCTTTAAAGATTATATAGATCTTTAGAAACATCAGCATGAAACAGAAGAGCAGTCTTAACTCACAGCCTCTCGAGCAATTCCCCAGGTTATTCAGTGACTAATCAGGGCGATTCTTGTACGAATGTCATACAAAAATTAATGAACAGGACCAATGACTTTTATAGTAGCTTGACATGCTGTTGGCCGCCTTATTTTGATGTTTGCGTTAGCCTTCCCTCCCTCCCCTAGTATTCCCATGATAAAATACTTTATTGTAAACATCCAGATATTTTGGATACATACATCATTGTGTGTGTATGTGTGTGCTGTAACTCAAAATACTGTTCTACACAATATATTTAGAAGTCTTTCCATATCAGTATGTCCTGACTTACATGATTGTTTTTAATGGAAGCATATTCTGTTTATTTTCCCATAGTCCTATTGATCAGTAATTAGGCTTTGTTATTACAAACAATGCTGCAGTGAATGCTCGTAAGTAGACATCTTTACACATTTAGGGGAGTGGGATAAATTCCTTGAAGAAGACTTGATGGTCATAGGATATGTGCACTTACATTGTTCATATCTCTATTGAAAACTTATTCTCTAGAGGAATTATCCCAAATTACTCCTTAATAATAAATTATTACAGTACCAAAACAGACATTGTAAGACTAGGATGTTATCAGGTTGCCTAATCATGCTAATCTAACAATAAGAATCTTATTTCTGCCCTGGCTGGTGTAGCTCAGTGGATTGAGTGAGGGCCTGTGACCCAAAGGATGGAGGTTCGATTCCCAGTCAGGGCACATGCCTGGGTTGCAGGCCAGTTCCCAGCAGGGGACGCACAAGAGGCAACCATATATTAATATTTATCTCCCTCTCTCCTTCCCTTCCCCTCTAAAGATAAATAAATAAGATGTTAAAAAAAGAATCTTACTTCTTGTTTTAATTCATATTTTTGTGACAATTAGGGAAGGTGAACATAATTTGACATTTTGTTTGGCCATTTGCATTTCTTTTTTTGTAAACGGTATTTTTCTATTAGATTATTCACCTCTAAAATGATTTATAATAACTTTAATTATTGAGAACATTGACCTCTTATCTCATTTCCAGATGTTCTCCCCAACTTGTTATCTTTTGACTTTTTAATAGTACTTTTGGCTGTACAGATTTTTAATTTGTAAGAAGTCAAACTGAACAGCCTTTTATGTATTCTAAGCTTTGAGTTATGTTTAGAAAATTCTGCTAAGCTTATAAACAAATTAACCTATCTTTTCTTCTAGTCATTCAATATTTTTAATAGTTAAATATTTAATACATCTAGAATTTAAAGAAAAGAGTCCATTAGGAATTTAGCTTTATTTTTTCCCAAGTGGTTAGCCAATTGTCTCAACAATATTTATTAGTTAATTTATCTTTTCTCCACTGATTGATAATGCTACTTATAACAAATTTCTAACTTTACATGGACACATTTCCAGACAATTCTGAACTTTGAAAGTGCTTTCATATGGGCCATTTCATTTCTAAACCTCAGGGTCCCCAGTTTGGAATAAACCGGAGCAAAGAGAACTTTGCCAGTCCTTAGAAGGGTTTAGAGGTGTTCAGGGATCAGTAAACATTACAGAACTCATTTTGTAATCCTACATAGTCTGAATCCAAAATCATTTGACAGGACAATTTTGGCAAAATAAATTACTTCATCATCCAAAGTTCGAGGGGTCAAACAATTCATTGGAAATAAGTATGACAAGGCAAACCACTTAATTTATTTAATCATCCTTTTTTTTCTCCTTCACTCTATTTTTTAAGTATCTACATAAATAAGACATACAAAACTTGAATAAGATGGTTTAGAGTAAGTAATACATTATGCTTTCCCTGGGTAAATATGATCAAATTCTTTTATAATTTCCAGTGCAAACAGAAGGTTAAAGATGGGGCATGCAGAGCAGTGAAGCCTATTAGTGAAGGGAAAAGCTAGAAATGGCAGAAATTAGGGGAGAGAACTGTGTTGCAGAGCTGCAGTAGAAACCATGGGGACCACAGGAAATTGCCCGAGTCCAGGAAAATTAGTATTGAAGGGGTTCTAGTCTGGTCGATGGGATGCTGCAGTAGTACTCTGTTCTGGTAATATTATGATTTATTGTTGGCAGCACGTTGGTCCCAGGTGGTCTGCGTGGGTGAAGTATTATCCTAGCCAGGGATCAGTAAATGTCACAGTACTCATTTTGTAATTCTACATAGTCTGAATCCAGAATCATCGACAGGACAGTTTTTGCAAAATAGTCATCCAAAATTTGAGGGGTCAAATAATCCACTGGAAATAAATATGACAAGGAAAACCACATAATTTAATCATCCCCTTTTCCTCCTTTAGTCTATTTTTAAATTAGCTGTATAAATAAAGCATTGGAATCAGGACATTGCCTTCTGGGTTTTAGGGCTGAGATTCTGGATAGGATTTAAGTCCTGGTAGGGAAAGGGAGTATGGATTAGGAAACCCAGCAGCTGTTTAGTCATGCAGATTGTGCAGACACAACAACGACAAGCAATGGGGCTTGAATTGATCTAAGGACATTTTAGCACTTCTCCCAGAGCACTGTGGGAGACCTACCCTTGGTCTGGATCCACAGCACTGAGGTCAGGATGTACTTTGCTAAACTAGTAGTCAATACATTTAATATGACTTGGGAAGATGCTTTACACACATTCTTCAGAATCGACTTTTAATGCTAAAATCTGTCTGACCTAAATGGCATAGTTCTACTCTGTCATGTTTATCTGATGAGAGTAGAAGGAGCATAGGTAGAACTGGGGTGGGATCTTACCATTAGGATGTGATCGTCTCAGTAGTTCCTTCAGTAATGCCTGTCTCTATAATGAATGGTTATTGGGTCCAAAGCTCATAACTAAGCTTATGGACTCTGTCTAAGACATGAAAGCAAATGTTGGTCTAGGTAGGTGGGCAGAGTCAGGGACATCAAGAGTCAGTATACATAGCATACACAGATTAACTGACATCCTGTACTAGAAATGGTTCGGATGCTCTGACAGAAATAAAGTTCTTCTAGATGCAAAAAGGTAATGGATGAGAGCTCAGTAATTTACTTTAAGACCCTTTCCTACCCTGTTTTCTTCTTTTAATAACAGTTATTAACATTTATTGAGCGCCTGCTATGCCTGAATTAATCTGGGTGCCAGGAATAAAATGAGAAAATTATGGTCACAATCTAGGTGGGACCTCAAACTTTTGTGTTAGGGAGAAAATACTGAGAGGAAGAAAGGAGGGGCAGGCACTATATGAATGAGAGTAACATGAGAGAACTTTCCACGTATAACTTGAATTGCTTAAATTTTAATACCTACTGTCTGAATGAATGCTTTAAATTTAAACTACATTTAATTATGCTTCCTCAAATTTTCTGTTCAACAGCTCATTTAAAAGATTTACATTAGATACCACCTAACACGCTGACAGAAATTTATGGCACACACATGCAACATCACGTATGACTTGTCCACGTAATTTCTACTTAGATTATACATTGTTGTTCTTAAAAGTTATTTTTTTACCATCATTCAGGGAACAACAGAGATATTCTTTCTATTATCCTCTTCTTTGGGAGCTCATTTAATAAACTAGTTTCACTTTATAGTACATTCTCTAACTTCAGAGAGGGTTTATTTTTTTTTTCCTTCAGAGCTTTTTGAGCTTTTTTTAAAAATGTTTTGCCTGATCTACCAACAGATTTTTCTAAAGAGATCTGGAGATTAAATATCAGACAGAGCTCACGTGTCAGGGGTGAGTTCTTAGAATGATTTGGGTTTGGAGGAGGAGGAGTGCAGTGCTTCACTTCCCTCAAGGTTGTTTTTCTCAATACAGAGGAAAAAGATTATTTTATGTAGTCAATTTTTATCATTTGTAATTGTGTACTTGGTTTCACCGCTACACTAGTTCTATTAAAATATTTTAGAACACTTTTCAACTTGCATATTTATTTATGGTAGGAAAAAAGCATGGATTTTGCTGTTCTCACTGATAACATTTTCAACATTTTAATTCTATATTCTACATTGGGAAAGGTTAGTTTTATATTCCACATTAGGCAAGGTTATTTTGCTGGGCAGGGTTACTTTGTAGTATGCTTTTAATTTACATACTTACTGCCTCACTGGGAAGGGTACTTTCTGGCACCCTGAGTGGATGAGGTGGCATTCCAGAGGCAGAGGCGGTGAGATATGTCCAGGTTGTTTAATGTGCCCACAGGTAAATTGTGTCAGGGGTCTCCAAGACCACTCCCCAAATTTGGTA